AAGTGGATCACTTAGTGGAAATTTATCAATTATATATGAACACACAATTACAAAAAAAGCTCGCACAGAATTTAAAAAATGATTTCACTTCACTTTCATTAAACTTGGCATTTTTTAAATATAGTCTTGTTTCCGCACCAATCACTAAATTTTCATTTTCTTTTTGTTTACTATACTTCTGAAATGGAATAGACGTTAGAGTAACATCTTCATTTTCTTTAGAAATTACTGATGGTTTTACGAATCTAACAAATAAATTCATTAAAAGTTCAAAAAGTTCTCTTCTCAATTTATGTATATAAGGAGCTTGTTGTTGCAAATTAATATTTACTGTTATAAACAAAGGCAAAGTATTTTTCAAAAATAACAAGTACAATTTGGTGGTCGGTGACTGTAAAATTTTTTTAATGTTTTGCAATCTCTTTCCTTCATTCTCACTGTTATCTGGTTTATCTCCAAAAAAAATTTATCACAGCATCCCACTGTTCCAAAATCCTTGTTATAGATTCTAAAAGAGACAACCATCTCGTACTGCAATATTTCAAAATTTTATGAGATTTTGCATTCTGTCCCAAAATTTGTTGAGCAACTTTGAAGCTATGCTTCCGTTTCGAACTTTTCTCCAAGTAAAAATATATATCTATTATCAACATTTCAATTTCTGAGCCAATTAATTTTTCAGTAGCTTTTTTTGCAGCTATATGCAAGAGGTGGCACGGACAACCTCAACCTCGGGTGATTATACTTGGTTGATGCATTTTGATAAATGATGCTACACCTTTAAACTTTCCAATCATATTACTAGCATTATCTGAAGAAAATGATAAGCAATTTTTCCATTCTAAACCTTTGTTTTTAAAGTTTTCATTTATACAATTAAAAATACCTTCTCCTGTATTATTCGTGCATTCTAAAATAGAAATCAATGAAGTAATTATCACTCCCTTTTCTTTACTGTAGTATGTTATAACCAATGGGTACAGTTTGTTATCATTGTTATCATTACTTCCATCAGTACTTAGAGAAAATGATGTACTGCACACTGATTTTATAATATCAGCAACAGTATTTTCTGCAAGCGTTTTCACAATAGCAGCAGTTTTGGTATGACCGCAGCTAAATTTTTTTGCTATGGCAGAATCCGGAAACATTGCTTTGAAAAGCTCTTTGGAATGATCCGAAACAGAAAGCGGTAGATTATGTTCAATTAAAAAACGAACAAAATAGCATTCGGCTTTTATAGGATCTGTTTCATCATCTTTTATTAAGAAATTTGTTATTTCTTTAGATTTTACGGTGCCAAGTTCTATATGCTTTTGAGAAAACACATGCCGTTTACAGTCATCTTTTCCGCCATGAGCAACTGAGAAGTCTTTGTTGCATACACTGCAGTGTGCGTGATTCACAGAAATTTCGGACGCTTTAATGCATGGAAATTCTGAAGAATATGAATCTTTAAACTTCTGCTTTGATAATTTTGGCTTCTTCGTTCGAGGCAGCATTATGATTAAAAAATCTTTCACCTGATTCACAGTTCACAAGACACACGCTAAGCTCTCGCCGTAAACTACACAATGCAGCCGAATGCAGCCTAAACACGCATCAGCGAGGAACCTGGGAGACAGACAAAGACAATTGGGTGGAACTATTGATAAGTCGTTAACGGTTGGAGTTACTGATCTACGATTGGCTAATTCTTCAAAACTAGGAACGCACTCAACACGTGATATATGATAACACGAGTATTCAGCCAATCATCGGATGAATTAGTTGGTTCCGTTTTGCGTACTGGTTCTCCTGCTCTTGTTTCTGTAAAATCCGTAGTTTTTTCCATACTTTTCGTAGCTCGTAGTTTTTCATAATTTTTAAAACTACGAGAATAGTAGCGAGTCTATGGATATCAGAGCTGCTTGAAAACAAAGCTCTATTGCTCAGGTCACAGAATGACTGTTGATATGTCATGGCCTTGGAATATTCCGTGGAGTGATGAGGCTCATTTCTACCTCAATGGGACAATGAACACACAGAATTGCCGCATTTGGGCTAAGGAAAATCCTCAGATCCACACTGAAATTTCTCTACAGTCTTCAAAGGTCACCACCTGGTGTGGATTCATGGGAGCATGCATCCATGGGCCATTCTTCTTTGAGGAAATTGTTGAATGTGGGCCTGTCACATGTTCCGTTACAGGCTGTCGGTACCATGACATGCTACAGATGTTTCTTGTGTCGCAACTACAGCAAAGGTGGGTCCTTACATCAACCATTTTCATGCAGGATGGTGTGCACTTACATATCCATAAGTCCGTGAAGGCACTATTGCTCCAGCACTTCATAGAGAACGTGTTATTAAACACTCCTTTCCTAATCTATGGCCACCATATTTGGCGGATCTAACTTCATGCGATTTCTGGTTATGGGGCTGTTTAATCGTAGAGGTGTTTCGATGTTGAATGACTTAAAGAACTTCATAACGCTTCATGTTCAAAGCCTCACAACTGATCAGTTACGATCTGCTATTGAACATGCTGTCCATCAAGTTGAAATTTTGCAGGTGAATGAGAATTGTCACGTGAAGCATCTTTCCCTACATCATCCTGGACACGATTAACAACTGCTTCTCTTGTACAATTTCATCCTACTCTGTTCTTGTTTCTGCAAACTGAACTGTTTTTGTTTCTTCCTTACCTTTAACTTAATGTGGTTCAATGACAAGGTGATCAGGAACTAGTCAATAAATTTTAATATTGTTTCTGTATTCCGTTTCAGTCGTTTATTGTGTTAAATTTCATGTTTTTACTGAAAAGGGGCCTTCTGGTGGACCTTTTGGAATTAAATTTTTTTTTCGAAATTCTGTGAGTGCATCTTGTGTATAGCCCACATACAAAATTTTGTTGCATTCTGTTTACCCGTTTGCGCTGTAGGATGCCGTTTACAGGGGAAGTTTAATTATAACCACCCAGTACTATCGCTCATACGTATAAATATTTTAATAGTTTAGCTTATTTTAAGAGACAATGCACTATATAATATCATAAAGAGTTTTTTAAAATGGTGACAGGAAAACAATAATAATGTTAATAATAATCATAAAATTTCCATTCATTCATGAAAACTGCACTGCATAAACAATGAAGAGACTTCTAGATCACTCATATTTGCATCATGGGAATACAGTAACAGTGTTTTTGAACTGTTTTACTTTATATTACAGCTCTTGACTGTTTTACATGTATTGTATCTTGTAAACCATTTTGTTCTTTTCATATTTTAAACCTTACAAGTCATTTACTTCTTTAGGTTTTAAGAAAAAGTTCTCAAGATTTCAAGTGTTATTGATGGATAACTGAAACTAGAGATTCCTTAATCAGCACATATAGAGGCATGATTATATAAATATAAGTACACAGCAACATCACAGATATATACTACTTGTCACAGTCAGTTAACATAATGTTTCCGTACAGTTTGCTTGGGAGAAGTTTAATTTTTTTTTAATAATACACTGTAAACACTTGATAACAACATAACATTCCCCTCCCTTTTTTCTCATAAAATACATTATTTCTACTTAAATTTATAATACAGAATAAGGTACTATTCCGTTTTGAGGATCGTAAAAAACTGCAGCGAAAATGTATGGGCAAAAGCGCCAAATCTAGCAAATGCGCCCATTTAACAGCGTGCCAAATCTAGCTTATGTGCTGATTTCAGATTGCGTAAGTTTATATAGTTCTATATTTCTTAAGACGCCATTGAAATACTAGTTTAATTTTTAAATCCTTTTTTAATATCCTATGGATTTAACAATTTTGAAATTGCCCATGACGAAAAGTCGGCAATAGAATTTTGGGTAAAGTACATAATCACCCACTGCTTGACGTGTTTTTAAGAATTGCACATACTCGGTATCCATGAGCACATCGACCTATTTTCACTTAAAAAAAATCCCAGAATTGCACAAAAATGGCACTGCGCACACCCTTGGCTTTATCTATGTACACATCGACCTACTTTCACTTAAAAAGTAAAAGAAAATTGACAAAAATCCAATTGTTTTGACCCTTGTAAAAAGAGAAAAAAATGGCATTCATTATAGAAAATTACACTTGAAAAACCAACGAGATGAAATTATGCTTTAGCGATAACTCGGTAGCAAAATAGTGATGCAGGCTTCCATTCAGTTATGTTTAGCAATTTTTGTATAAATTATAATAATGATCTGAAATAGTTATTTACTCATATGCTTCCATTCAGTCATGTTTAGGCTTTTTTATATAAATTATAATAATAAAAAAGAATTATATGAAATTAACCTTTCATCTAAATTAAAACATCAATCTTAGATAGTTATTTACTATTATACTTCCTTTCTTGCGTTAGGGTTGCCGCAATTATTTTTGGCAGCACTGACATCAACTATAGTTTGCGATTTTTTACGGCCCTCAAAACCGAATAGTACCCAGAATAATAAGCATAATAATAGCATGAACATTTTCAAAATCCAATATACTAACTATTAAATGGAAACATTATTTTCCCTAAGCACTTCAGTGTTACTGTATTGGGACTTATAAGTATGAAGAACCTCAAATTCATTTAACTTAGATTTTTCATGAAAATTTTTATTACTATCAAGCAAAAAATGAAGTATATACTGCTACCACAGCAAACAGAAGTAAATTGTTTGAACAACAGCTTTAGACATTAATTCAAAATGGAGTGATTTATAAGTTTATAGCTGTCAGAGTAATGGCCAATCTTGTGCTTTAGCAAAAATTTCCATATTTCCTTTAATGTCCAAACGATAAACACACATATGGGATTACTTTGTTATAATAAATATTAACACTACATGAGAAATTTTATATCAAAATGTGAAAGCAGAAATATAAATTATGACTCAAAATAATAATAAAAAAGTTCATGCCTATTTACTTAAATAAAACATACAAAATTTCATAATCATCACTGCATTTTTAATATTTCAGGAAAACTCACCAGTTGCTTGGGGCTCATATTGTACAAAATCCTCTCAGCATTTTCACTGTCTCCACGACTTTCCATAATAGCCAGAAGCAATTTAGAAGCATTATTCTAAAATTATAAATGAAAGAGAAAAGACGCATTTCAATAATAATTAAAAAATTGCACTCATTACATAAAAATAAAGCAAGTAACTTGATAAAATTAATTTAATACAAATACTTTATGATTATTTGTAGCCTCACAAAAAGTAAACAAGATATTGTTTTTCATAAATTATAATAAAAATGAACACTTTAGATGAAATAAGAAATTTTGTAAGGAAAAAAATACTGATAAAAAATGACAGTTGAATATAAAGCATTAAACCTACATATACTCAAACATAGATATTGTATCCGTATGCAAAGGTTGACTGTTATCAAGAATATACTTGATAAAATGGCAAAAACATGACATTTCATACAAAATGTTGAAACCAGGTGTTTGGACAATCAGAAAGTATTTTAATATTTTTCTTCGATTGTCTTATAAAATGTTTACGTAAGCTTACATGGCTGAAGATCTTTTATGCAAGAAATAAGATCCTTTCATATTTTTCTGAAAATTCAAACTAAACTATACATATTATACGAACAAGAATAATACCAATTTTATGCTTCTCTTGGCTTATAAACTGTATTTATGTACATAACACATAAAGTAACATCACAAATTTTGAACTCAGCAAAAAATATGAATATGTGCATTTCAATGCATAAGGCTGACTCTTAAATAATTAGATATCAAAGAATATGTGCATTTCCATGAATAAGGCTGACTCTTAAATAATTAGATATCAAGGAATATGTGCATTTCCATGAGTAAGGCTGACTCTTAAATAATTAGATATCAAGAAACAATCTCATGTTTTGCTCTTTTTGTCAGAGATGAAGAAAGAACAATGTCAGATTGTTTTTTGAAATACCCAACTGTCTTGAATATAAGATGATAATTTCCCTCTTCAAGTGAACTTTTAGAAAATTATAGCCATCCCATATGTATAGACTAACATTACTGTGTTCCAGCTGAAATTCAACTTTAAATTACCCTGATTTTCCATGATCAAATGGAGCAATTCCTCCAACCAAGCATAAAGAACTAATTATCAGATTTAAGTATGAATAATTGCATTTTTATGTGTTGCAAAATATAGTGAAATAACCAAGAATGTTAAAGAATATTTTAAAATAACTGATACTGTGAAGCAAATAAAAAATAAATACAGGAAACATGCACTAAATGATTACATAGGCATTTTAAATAAATTCTAGAAAAAAGTTCATTCTACAAAAATTTAGAACAGTATGTATATTAAATATTACTCCTTTGACATTTCATAATAAAATTGAAGAGTTTAGAATTTTGCTGTATCGAAAAATATGTTTGATTAATTTAGATATGTTTGATTAATTTAATATGTTTATTATACAATCCCATAATGTGGTGGCTTCTTAACCCTCAGTTGGAGGGGCTGGCGTATGGTACAATCTTAGAGGGACGGCGTATGAAGTACGCCAGGTCATTTTTCGAGCCTCTGCTTCGTGTTTGAAACTATTTAATTTTATACATGGCATTAATTAGGTGATTCGTCATAGTAAAAATGATATAAGAAAAGGAATAACAGAAAAAAAAAAAAAAAAAAAAAAAAGCAGTAAAGATGGAAACTATGAATTTTTAATTCAAAAAGGTGGATGCACTGGAAATGTAATTTAAATAGTATTCTGCATTATTTTCTGTATGAAAATTATAAGAACATAAATCAAAATTACAAATTATAAATATTCCGTAAAGAAAAGTTTGGTAAGTAATAAATTTCACAAATGAGAAATTTGGAAACCTTTTGCTATTTTAATCCTCTTCTGATTGTCCCTGTTCACTGCAGCAGGGTTTGCAAAGTTGTACTGTCTTGCCCAGATGATCTTTGCAGGTAAACTTAGAACACTCAGAACATTTTATGGTAGTGTAATTATTCTTCATTCTACCGCACTCAGCGCAGCGGCCTTTGATCTTTTTTGCAGGTGGTTTCTCGTCCCTTTTGGCCGTCTTGTCCGCTTCTGTTGTTACCAAGTCTTCTAATAATAGCTTTGGAATGCGACAGGAGAAATGGCATTTTCAGACGATTCTGAAGATATGGTTTCAACAAAGATGTAGTAGATTTTTCAAAAAATATCTTCTAAACTTGATGGTTGCATCAGGTTTGGAGAAGTTCAAGAGCACTTGCGAATTTATGCCCGCTACGTTTAGTAGTGCAAAAAATATTGCCATTGTCCACCTCTTGGTTTTTCGGGCGACAGTGAAATTAGTACAAAGATAGTCAACGGTATCAATTCCGCCTTTACATTTGTTATAATCGAGGATTATTTGAGGATTATTTATTACATTTGTTATAATCGAGGATTATTCGTTTCCTGGTCAATTTTGTCATCATCGTGTAAAGTACTGAGCAGTATTACTCACTTATTTTTTTCGTTGAATATGAAACAATTGTCATATCCTTTTGAAAACCAAACAGTGAACTGCGGACTTCTCTGGTTTTTGATGGCTGGAATTCATTTGGAATTTCCTTTTTATTTATTTTTTTCAGCGTGCCCACAAGTGCTATACCTTTGGTAAGAAGATATTGAGCTAGCGGATACCAATTATCGGTCGTCAGATTACGGTTGGAACATTCGTACGCATCAATTAGCCTTTTGACAATGTCAATACTTGAATTAGAAGCCTTGTAAGGTCCTGGGGTTTGATTGCCACAGTAAATTTCAAGCTTCAATGTATAAAACGTTCGTGAGTCAACAACTGCAAAAATTTTCAGACCATACTTTGCGGGCTTGTTGGGGATGAATTGAATAAAAGAGCACCTCCCGCGAAAGGGTTCCAACTTCTCGTCGATTGTGAGTTCATCACCTGGTGTATAAACGTTTTGACAGTTCTGATTGAAAGATTAAAAAAATTCTCTTAGTGCAGCAAGCTTATCAGTTTTACTTCGCACATACCTTGTGCCTTTATCATCGAATCTAATAGCAGCACACAGGTTTCTGAATCGCTTGAGACCCATAACCCCTTGCAAAATTTCAATTCCAGTACCGTCTTTTGCCCATGCTTCCTCCAAATTGAGTTTTGACATTTTTTTGCAACCTAATAAGAATAAAATTCCCAAAAAGGCCAACATTTCTACTCTATTAGTATCACACATATTTCTCTTTGAGATGTTTTGGAGATCATCTGCAGTCCTGTTACATTTGAGATAAATATCTGTATATTGTACGATAGCATCAATCATATTTGTATTTATGATTTTCTGAAAAGCAGAAAGCTCATCATTCATATCGTCACAAGTTTTGTCACTTGGGCATATTTTTTTCATCAAATTTTTCGAGGCGTTCTGGTGAATTTGCTCTTGAGGGGAACTTAATTCCACTTATAAGTTTCCTTTTCTTCTTTCAGAAACTTTCCTGAAACTTTCTTCTTTTTGTAAATTGTTTTTACAAAAAAGTCCTCATATTTTAAATCACTCATGTCAGTTTCAATATCACTAAAATCGTCATTTGTTGGGGAAACATCATTTGAGGAAGGAAAATGAGGATGTTTAGAAACATTTCCCTCAATTTCTGAGTCACTTTCCTGATCAGAATGTTCGATGACTTACGATTCATTGACATCAGATGCGTTATCCAAATTGTCGGAGTCTTCATCAACCGAGACTTCTTCTAAAACGCGCAAATAATCTTCAGGAGGTACAATATTCTTTCTGTACATACTTGGAGTGGCGTACTGCGTTCGCTTACGCGACACATTCACAATAACTGCTTTCGGAAGGTAGGCGAAAACCAGACTGACCAGAAATACCAGGTGCATTGCACTCATGGAATGTTTCTAGGAGGGTAGAGGAAGGGAGGAAGCTCAGGAAGGAGTTGTCTAAAAATTACAGCCCAAAAGATGGCATTGGCGGTACTCTGTACGCTGGCCCCTCCACTGCAGGGTTAATAACGAAATTTAGTTTTGAATGCCAATGACACTTTTAAAGAGAGAGGTAAAAAACAGTGAAATTTCTAAAAACAAAAAAGTACAGCTCATTACAAAGTGAAGAACAAAGTTATAAATTTGGTAAAATTATTTATGTGACAGATAAAATACTTTCTGCAAGAAAACCAAAGACTGCAGTAACAATTCATTAACTTTCTCTTTGAGAGGGACAGCTTTTAATTACTGTATATTATTTAAAATATGGATCATTTTATTATTTGAGAGAAATAATTGGTATTTTTTTAAAACATTAAAATTTCCCATGTCCTTTTCAAAGAAAGTATATATTTTTTCCTGATCATTTCCCGTTTCTCTGATTTTTCAGTATTTCTTAACTGTATGAGAACCCTGCATTTAAATATAGTAATTTAATACCAATCTGGCGATTTTTCCATTAAAAAAAAAAGCACATTCATTTATTCTAAGTAATAAATAATCTGTCATATTTTGAGGTAAATTATAACAGACTGTTTAATTATCTTCCTCAGAGAAAACCTTTAATACATGAAACTCATTTTTGTGAGACCATCTTATATCATTCAACATGTTTTCTTCTCATAAAACACAGACGATTCTATCTTCTGCTTAGATCAATACATATGAGGACTGGAAATTTAATAGTGGAAACTATTTATTTACAAGGAATACAAAAGTTATTCATGTCACCATGTTTTACAGTCCTTCAAATAGTCACCAGCATTGTGTACAACCCGTTTCCAACGATGTGGAAGTCGCAGAATACCTGTAGCAGCGCCTGTTTTGTTGATAGTTTGAATGGACCGGTCTACTGCCGCAAGAATCTCAGGAACAGTTTGGAAGCGAGTGCCACGAAGTGTTTCCTTCATCTTGGGAATTAAGTCATAGTCACAAGAACTTATGTGGTATGGTAGATGGTAAAGCACTTCCCAGACTCACCGCTTGAACAAATCAGTCACAGCTCGCGCTGCATGCACCCGAGCATTGTCATGCAAAATGAGAGGAGCGTTCTGCAGAAAGTGTCGCCGTTTTTTTCTCAAAGCTGTTCGGAGATTGTGCTCCAAAAATGAGCAGTAATACAGCACAGTGACGGTCTCCTGTGGGGGAACGGTATGCGTTAAGATGACACCATCACAGTCGTACATGAGAATCACCATAACTTTCACAATGCTGGGGTTCTGACGAAATTTCGAACGTTGTGGTGACCCGTGATGATGCCATTCGTTTGATTGGCATTTCAGTTCTGGCTGGTACGATCGGGCCCAAGTCTCATCCAGCAAAATGATACGGTGTAAAAAAGCATCTCCTTCGCGCTTATAGTGCTCCAGGTGGGTTCGGGCAGAATCGTATCATAGCCATTTCTGCATTTCCGTCAATTGATGTGGAACCCATCGTGAAGCAATTTTTCTCATGGACAGGCGTTCCTTCAGAATGTGCAGCACAATCGTATGCCCTAATCCTGTTTGTCCGCCAGCTGACAAATTGTTTGGCGGCGATCACTGTCCATTAGTGCGGCAACAGCTTGCACATCTGCATCACTGACACTCGGATGACCTGGCCGCAGCATGTCTGCCACGTTTTGGCGTCCTTCATTGAATGCTTTCACCCATCTTGCTACGGTTCTGTAAGGCAATGCAGATTCCCCACAAGCCTCTTGAAGCCCTTGATGACACTGTCGTGCTGTACAACCTCTGGCACATTCAATTTTTATCCAACATCGTGGTATTTGTTTTGAAAACATCCTGACAACACTTACTTTAGACCGCGAGCTAATACAAGGATCCATTCTTCGCGTCACTCTGCATGCGCGTGACGTAGGTAGGACAAGTCTTTTTGCTGAGAGGTAAGGTAGGTATGTAGTTCACGTGTGGTATACGTGATATTCTTCGGTTTTGTTGCGTAGCGTTTTTTCAGCTGTGTTGCCACTATTAAAGTTCCAACCCTCATATATAAAATTTTATTTAAAATTACCATCTGTTTTAAGTTAAATTTCACCTAAAAATCATGAAAAACAAATTTATGCTTCAGTAGTCTTATCAGGCACTTCATATTACAATAAAAGACAGAAAATTTAAGTCTCTGTTTTAATGATTAAAATTACATCATTCAGAATATTTCACAAGATTTTCTTTTAATAACGTATATTGATAAATAATTAGTCAATAAAAATTTGGCATAGATACCACTGAGTAACAATTTACTCATAAAAAAACATTCAGCATATACACCATGTCCATAAAATATTATATAGCCTTTATAATGGTTGCTCTAAGACATGGACTTTCAATTATAAAAATGTTTTAAGTAACATAAGCATTTACGTTTTAGCATTTTTAAATGTAAAAACTCAATTTTGAAAAAATTATGGAATTTAGTTTTTTTATATGATCTTTATTATATTTAGCAAAAAATTAAACTCATTCTAAAAAAATAAATACCAAAGATTTGATATTTTAAAAATTTTAAAAACTAAAAAAAGGGGAGGGGGAGATTATTTGTATTACTTAAAACAGAAACTATATGCCAATCAAACAACCAGTGGCTTCAGAAATAAAGGTCACATAAAGACCTCTATGGAGACAATTTATATTTACATCAATGGCTCAGATCTATTGTTATATATATTGCTAAATTTATAATTGAGAAAGTAATATAAACAAACCTTTAATTCTAATACAAGATCCATTCTTTTCTTTCCCAAGGGATTTATATCATTCAGGATGAGTGCAATTATTATATCAATTCCATTGCTTTCATGAACAGCTATGCAATTCTATGAAAAAGAAAATTTTTTAGAAACTAGGTTATAAATATATGTCTCACAGAATTCTCATAATAAATTTATGACCGATCAGTTTTAAATAATTTTGATACATTTATAGTACAGTATAAGCAAATGACTTTATTTAATGCAAGTAATATTAAAAATTAAAAATGATTTTAATAAAACTAGCATAAAAGTGATACCCAATATACAATGGAAATTTATACCTCAGATACTTCATGAAATTCTTACTTGATTTTCATGGCAAGGCCCTTGACAATATTCAGTGAGTGTTTCCAGAGTTTGATCAACAAGAGAAACATTATGTTCATTGATGTAAAGTCCAAGCAAACCTAATCCTCCAGTTGTACTGCCACAAATGCAATCGAGAAACATCAATGTTTCAGACACAAGATTGTAGTTATTTTTGTTATTTTGGTTTCGTAAAAAGTTCTGAAAAAAGATAAAATACAAAGACAGATTTCAGCTGTTTCTGAAGAACAAAATTTCAGATAATACTTCTTCCAAGTTTTCATTATATATATAAATATATACCCCTCCAAAAAAATGACATAGCCAGCACATGAGATTCCACCAATTCCATGTTTTAAATAGCAGTGACCATCAAGTAAAATATCACTTCCGGTTGATTGTTTTAGACAAAATCTGATTTGTTGTTCTAATAAACAGAAAGATCTGTAATATGAAATTTTGAATAATATTTTATTAGGTATAATTGGTCAACTGTAAAAACTGCTTTTTCTAAACTTATAGCAACATAATCAAATGCTTGCCTACTTTCTTTTTATAAAATTAAAATTTGTTTCTAATTGGGGCTTGAGTAACATATCATTTAATTGGAATTAAAGAAAAGTAAATATTTATAATATTTGAAATAAATACATTGAAATGTATACAATAATTTAATTTTCTTAAATTTCCATTGAATGCAATAATTTAGTTTCTTAATTATGTTATCTATCTACAGTATCAAAAAATCTAAATTTATTTTGATCTGCATGTATATTCCCATGACAAATATCAGTACACAATATTCATTGAACTGCAACAATATGTTATGGTTTAGATATGCAACAGTACGATATGTCGATCGCTACAAAACCGTTATAGGCTTCAAGTACCATTTCTAGTTTCTAATATTACTCAAACTCTAATCAACTCTCTTTACGAATGTAAAACACATATATGTGGAAAACAATTTTTTTGAAGTTTGATATAGAACACATATACACATACATATATGTCACATATACACATACACAGACAATCATCATTGGGAAAATAGTAAAAATGTGTTATGGGGACCTTAATTTGTGCTTATTCTCTGAAAACTTAATACTGAATTTTCGGGCCAAAAATATTATCTTTCTTACTTGAGTATAAATGATGGCAAGAGGGGGGGGATACAACTCGGCACTTAAAAAATTATAAGACATTAAAGGGACATATCTATATGGTTCTAGGAAAAAAAGCCCACAGGAATAATGCTCATAGAAAAATGCTCACAGGAAAAAAGCCCACACAGAAAAAAAGCTCACATGGAAAAATGCTCACTTAGAAATATGCTCACACGGAAAAAAGCTCACACAGAAGTATGCTCACATGGAAATAAGCCCGCAATTCACATAGAAATATCCTTACATTAATGAATCAATGGATTTGAACATCGTACACCTACTTGGATTTTCTAAAGAAAAATTATTTAAATTACCCAAACATCTATTTTATATATTTCAAAAACTTTATAACTTATGTGTAGATTTAGTTGCTACATAAGATTAACAAATGAATTAAACAGAGAGGGGAAAGGAAGTAAACATGAAACAGAATTATACAGTAAAAAATTATTATAATTTTAATTGTTAAAAAATAATAAATATAAGATACATGTTTTTAATATAACATTTAGAAGAATAATGAATAAGAATTTAGAATGATTATTTATTTAAATTACTTAAAATATTTAATTTTATCATTGATTCATCACAGTTTCTTACATGATTCATGATTACCAATGTAAGTTTTTCATGTTTTCTTTTTTTTACTCAGTACATCCTGTATTACATTAGCTAATAACAAACGTGAGAGGCTAAATGTTTTCAGTCATCAAATAAAAACCACATACTGGGATGGCTACAAGTAAATAATGATTTAGTGTGTTATGAGACTCTTCGCAACAATTGTGGTTTTAGGAGATTTTTGAAGGCTGCTCATAATGTTTACTGAGAGGAATCAAAGTGCTAAAAAGGTACTTTTATTCTAAAATTTTAAATTTCTGCCAGAAATTTTAAAATTTTTTGGCTCAAAACTTGAATAACTTTTTAAACATCAATTCTATAGATGTAACATCAAAAGTATGCAAAAATAAAGTAAAGAACAAAAATTAATTATTAGCAGTTACAGGAATAAAATGTCGTACAGAGGCAGTGGTAAAAAATATTACAGTACATGCAAAATTTTACTACAGTTTTCATGCTTTTATTTATCGCCCCTGAAAAAGTTAATGTGAGCATTTGTCCATGTGAACATATTTCATGTGAGCTTTTTTCCGTGTGAGCATATTTCTAAGTGAGCATTTTTCTATATGGGCATACTTCCTTGTGGGCTTTTTTCCTGTGAGCATTATTCTGTGAGCATTTTTCCAGTTACCATCTATATAATTCAGAATTTTAAAAAAAATTATATTTAATATATTGATATTTTAATGTTACTATGTGGCCCATGTAGTTTAAAGGAAAATATGTTTCATACATTTTTCAAGAAAAAGCATTAGCAGTAATAATATAAGCATTTTATACACAAAAAATAAAAATTTAATAATACATCACTCTTTGGAATGATTCAAAATTTATGGAAAAATCAAACTGAAACCTTCAATCAACATGCATAACTACTAGCACTCATCAGCTAATACAATATATCCATGACATCAGCTGTAGAAATTGAAAATTATGGCAGTTGTTTAGCTAACAATGATTTGATGGTGGTCAGTTTATGACTGAAATTCAACTATTTGAAATACTTTAAGAAAGGGAAAACAAATAATCTAAATTACTTTAATACATGAAACATTTTCAATAAAGGATCAGCTTTAAAGAATATCAAATTAAGTTCAGCTAAAAGGAAATAAAACTATGAAAATTTGTTGCAGCGATTTATGAAATTATGGATTTTACATTATCAAGTAATATATTTCAACATAAATTTTGAATACTTTCAAGGGTAAGGGTATCTATTAATGAATTAGTTTAAAAACAGAGAGAAACATCAATACGGTAATAATTTAGAAACAGCAGAAATTGCTTTGCTACAGTTGAAAATCAAGTTGTTTCACAAAAATCACAGATCTTCACATTAACATTCAGCACAAAAATCTCTCTCTGTATAAAGTTACACCAAAGACCTCTCTATATAGGGTGACATTTTTCTGTTGTTCTAGATATATAAAAGCTTTTTCTTGTATAAAGTTTGTAAACAACCTATATTCAGCCTAATTTAAAAGCCACTATACAAGTTTCTGTCTTTGTTCACAATAATCTACACCGAGTAATAATGATCTGCGGCAAATGAACTAAGTAGTTTTTTTTATGTAAATAATACATGTTGTTATATGCATATTTTCATAAACACAACAACAAAAATGTTCCCTTTTATACGTCTCCCTCATATAAAACAATTTATTATGTTACCTTAATCATAAGCACATTTGCATTACCATGAGAGGCGACAGTTATATCAGAGTTCCCAATTTATTTTTGGACCATCATCCCCTTCACAAGAAAACAAATTCTAATGCCCTCCAGTTAATTTTACCTAATATTAAAATATTATTGTGTATTACCTACACTTATTTTATCTGTCTATCTATTAAAAATCTCAAAGTAGAAATTAATTAATGTGACCATCAAATGTAATAAAAAACTGTTTATTAAAAATTTTAAAATAAACATAAAATTAATAATAATAAAAAATAATAAAATGGTTGAGGTGGAATTTTTACAATTTGTTAATGTTGGGTTCCAGTTTTATTAACCTCAGACACAAACTGCCAACGATGTTCAATGATCTGCAGGCTATTCCTTTTCTTAAACTATAAATTTGCTACTGCTCTGAACCCATGTTCAGTCAAATATGATGAAGGAGAAGCAATTAAAATTTCTGTAATCTTGCCAACAATCCCGAGTAGACAGCCGGTACTGATTTTTTGAAGTCATAACTTTTAGTATTCATTTTTGAATTTTATTTTTAGTTCTTAGCTAGTTGTCAGTTCTATGAGTTCCTCTTCCAAATTTGATGATTCTGCTGCATTTCGTTATTATTCATGTTTAAAAGAATCACTTAATAAAATTAACATGAAGAATATGCAAGTGTTGGTAGGAAATAAGTACACCTTTATATTTTGCAGAGATTGTTGATAATGTAGGAAAATGGCTGCATTCACCTCTATCTAGATTTTGTTTGAACAACAGAAGTAAAAAAACTGCACAAAAGCAGCTCTGATGTTTTCTTTTTTAATTAAATTCAACTCATCACTTTGCCACTGTAAACTAACTTCATTAAATATTTCAGCCAGATCTGTTAAGCAAGCATTGGGATGTAATCAAGCCTTCATTAGGTTTTATGTGTGTTTTCAAGGAAGTCCAGTACTGGGTCAAACAGAGCGTGTGTATGTGTGTGCATATGTGTGTGGAGATTCAAATACCTTATGAGAAGCCAACAAACTTCTGTGTGCAACAGCAAGCAGTTGTCATTTCTCTCATTTTTGCTACAAATTTGGCCAAATAATCTGTCATGTACTGAAATACTTCTAATCATATTGACTGCACTTATAAATGTAACAAAGCAATGCATGAAGGTATTCATTCAAACTTTTTGCAACCAAATGCTGATGAATAACACAATATATCATAAGTACATTTGACACTACTTGTTTCAAATGCACTATGAAACCTTTCATTGCTGGAGCCCCATTATAGCAGCTGACAAAATATTACAAACAGGAATTTCTTTCTCTTGAAAAACTTTGCTCAAAGTATTAAATATTGATTCTTCCTTTGTACCATTTTCCAGATTTTTAGCAAATAATAACTCTTGACAATTCTTTTCTTCTTTTACAAACTAAATGTATGATAAGAGTAATGCTTCATTATTTGGTATTTGGGTTGAATGGAAAATTTGCAAGTAACTGCACAATGCTTTAGCTATTCCATCTATTTTTTTTTATACCAAACTATTTCTCAGAGGAATTTTTCTGATGATACCTGACAGTGTCTTATAGAGTAGGATAATCTTTATCACCTCTCTAATTGCCAATAAAAACAATTCCTCACCAATTGTGTCTGGTTTCACTGCTTTTGTGATTAACAATGAAACATTATATGAGGCTCGTAGTCCTACATCTTGTTGCTTAGAAGACAATGCAAAAAGGTTTGATTTGTTAGTTTACTGATTTAAATATTTCTTACAGTCTTTGAAAGTATGATAAATTTTTGTTCTTTTTAATGAGCCTTTTATTCGAATGCTTTTGTAGCCTAAAAGGCTTCATTTGAAAAAGCGTTTTGGGAAATTAAATACATAGGCAATGAATGGTTTGCAGAAGATTGCATAATTTCATATTTCAAGTACACAATACAATACTGCAGCATTTCCTCTTAGATTTAGACATTTTTGGTATACAAAATTTACCATGGTTTAAACAAATTAACCTATTTCAACACATTTACAGCTAGTTAAAATAATAATGGCTATAATGACTTCTTCACTTTCTCTCATGAATATGGATCTTTTGCAAAGCACACAAAAGTAATAACACATTCATTCTTACAGCTATTCTTAACTTTTCTAGACTTGATTTTGTGCATATATCAACTTGTATGCCTTTGTTTGTTTGTAACGCTAATGCACTTGCTCTATAAACAAGTCATTACTAACTTCCATATTTTTGTCAAAACATGCTTGACTGCTTGAATTATGTCTCTGTTTACCATGCAAAGACTTGTCACAAACAATACTAAAACCAAATTAGGTTTATACATATACTTAATTTGGTTTAATGTTTTCCTAATGCTAATTTAAATATTTTAATGTTTACTTAAGCAATAACAATAAGATAAAAATTTAAGATAGCTAAGTAAAATGTTTAGGCACCTAAATAGTAGATATTTTTGAAGTATTTTATGATATTAATTTTCTAAATAGGTTGGTATGCCACAACAGCCTCTCTTAATGCCAACCACAACCATTTGTCTCTGGGCCTGCTACTGCCACCCCCTGAAAAAAGATTCCAGCTTCCACTGGGGGTAGTATTACCCTATGGGAATCTATGAGTTATATGAATGTAAATACAGTAAATTTGCTGATATTAATAAAGAAATAGAAAGGACTTCAGTTTTAAAGCAACATCAATTTGAAAATCTTACCTGAAGATCATAGTTGTGGTTTTCACAAAGAAGTTGAAGAAATCTTAGTATCGGTTGCATAACCATAACTTCTGGTGGGAGTTTATTTTCCTCGGCATCTTTTGCTTTCTCAGCCTTTTCAGCCAAAATTTCCTCTAAAGCAACATGCGTATGAGTACCTAAAATAAGGATATTAATACAAAACACAAAATGAAGAAACTTAACTACCAGAAAAATAATTGTATGAGACAGTTGAGCTAATTTTCTTTCTAGGATTATAAAAGTTATATAACCTACATATTTGAATGCTATAAATGCAATTTTCAGAAATCCATACAGTATTTAATAATAATATTATTATTGTTATTACAGTCAATCAATTAAGTAATACAGAGGACATACATAAATAATCAAATGGCAATTAAAAACACAAACAGTTATATAATTATAATTAGCAGAAAAATTATGTAAACAGTTTACCCATTTCTTCAGACATTTTTACCCGCCAAGTTAATTTGATAATGTAAATTAAATCAATACTAAATGTAAAACAAACACACTATGAATAAGGATAGAATAAATATCAACAGTAATGAAGAAGAAACTAAGTTTAAAGAGAATTAAAAAAAATGAAATTTATAACAGAACTTAAAAGATGTCATTAAATTCAAATCAGTACAAAAAAGTCAGAATTTTTAATTGTAGTATGTTTATATGTTTTGGGTTGCATATTTTTTAATTGTACACTATAGTGGAAAAATCATCTCTCAAATTCTATGACATCGTTTCGTTATTCCCCACATCCATTTTCAAGTTTTTGTATTGTCTTAAGCTGATGATTTGTTATCATAATCTTCCCATCATTTCGCAATAAATAAACTTTGTTTCTCTCTCTCTTTTAAAGTGTCCCAGTTATTTATTTTAAAGTGTCCAGTTGACTGTTATTACTGTCACTAAAATGATAAATTGTATTGCTTCATTTAAACATATTTGGTGTAAAATATAATATATTCATTTTCAGTTTGCATACTCCTCCTCCACCCCCCCCCACAAAAAAAGGTTATCTCTATGTGCAAATATTCCCTTTGACTCACATATTCCTTCACCGACTCTTCACTTATAAGTGACCTAATAATTTCATTTCTTAAAGTGTAAAATTCATCATTATGACAATAAATATATTATACCAATTTATGAAGCAATAAAATATATAGCAATATTGTAGAGAATCTCCAGCAGAAGGCCTTGCAGTAACTCTAAACTGAGTCTGATTCCAGAAAAAATCTGAGTTTCAGTTTTAGCTGAATAGCTACAGTAGATATAGTATGAGATTAATTTTATATAATATGATTAAATAAAGATATGTATTTAATTTGCATATACACAAAATGCTGAGTTATTCTGAATTATTTTATCATTACCAAAGTAAATTTAATCAACCCAAGTATTATTTCCTATACTTTTAAAATATGGCAAAAATAAAAGGATAATTTTCTTCTATTCCTACAGTTTTTTTAACTTATATATTTAATTTTTAAAAACTTTAATTTAACAGTGAATTCTTGATTAACCAAATAGATTCTATCTAACGAGGGGGAAAAAAAGTGACTGCAGATAATGTCATAGCATTTGGGGACTTTTTCTAAATCCATAACAGTATATAATTTAACTATAAATGATCTAGAACAGTGGTTGCCAACCGGTGGTCCGTAGAAAAACTGGGACATTTTATATATTTTTATGAAGATTCAGTTTAAAAATGACGAGTAACAATACCTATTATGGAATATGGATTATACTTTTTTTTTTAAATTTTAGCTACTACTTTTAGTGAAATTCCTTCTGAATTTAGCCACTTTTTATCTACTTTTGCAAGTGTATCTAGCGACATTTGAAAGTGAGAGCTGGCATCCATAGATATGCTGCTGTTATCAATAATAGCGGGTACTGGAATCATCTTTTCCTTTGAGAATTACAAACATATTCTATTGTAGTTGTTAATGACACAGTTTTTCTCCATGTCAATAGGCAACTTGATGAATTTTATGAGAACCATCTGTATTCTTGTTTATAATTGCATCATTGGAAGTTTCCATTTTTTGTTTTGTCTAATTGTTGATCAATGGCACCATTGTTGATTAAGCGATGATTATTATGTTTACAATTAAAAATTTGCGGCATAACACTATCAGTTTATTGATATTGCTTTATGTTTGCCAGTTTGTTCTTGCTTTTTTGTGAAGTTCCTTTTCAATGATATGGAAATGTGAAGCTTTCTGTACAAGAAGGTAAGATTTTTGTACTTTTGATGTAATTTTTCAATGTGAACGAAATATGTGTAGTTTGCTGATTATTATTGTATACATGTATTTACCTTTCTAATTCAATTTAGTGGTCCACCAAATATAAAATTATATATGTAACGGTCTGTGAAGTTTTAAGGGTTGACAACCACAGACCTAGAATACAGTGCAAATATTTAATAATTAAAAAAGAAATTCTGACTTTTTGATTGCAAGTTTTAATTTAAATGACATCTATAACTAACTTATTTCCATCATCTCTAATGATATTAATTTTTATTTAGAGAAAATTTTTTAATAATAATTTAATTTAAGCAATCAAATAAGCATGTCCTTCTGATTAAATTTCTTGAAAATAAAGACAAATTTTTAATAGTATTTTTCTTTTAATTATAATATGTATTATACTTCCTTCCATTTTTGTTTAACTGCACTTGGATTAATCCTGGTTTTGAGTCGATCATGAATACTGCTCCCATAATTCAAGCAATTCCCGACTTACCAGACAAAGCAATATCAGTAATTCAAGATAACCGACTGATTTTGCAGGCACCTAATATGTCATTGACTGAGGAGGCACTTTTACTAAAATACCAAGGCTATTTAAAAAAGAATGATGTACGTAAAATCCAAATTTTGTGGCTTTCTACAGAACTTCCAAATTTACTTGTTTAAAAAAAAGCTTCACGTAAAAAAAAAGTTTTTTTTTTTTTTTTTTTTTTTTTTTTTTTTTACAGAAAAGAAAAATACTGTGTGTTATTTGACTTAATAGTTTTGATAATGATTAATAAAATAGAAATATAGGAAATTTTGGATGGCACTATTTTATAGGACTAAGTTTTTCAACCTGCATTTTTCTAGACTAGGATATATAGACCACCATTTCTTACCTTTCACAGCAATTTTATAAATCAGATACCAGATAAAAGAGAATCAAGGACAGGGAATCACATTTTTTCAAATATCCTGTTGACACCCCCCAAGGGCTTTATTATTCTAAGATTCAGACATAAATTTGAAATAATTTCTTATTTTTAATACTGAAGATTAAAAATCTCCAAAAAAATTTTTTAATCGGCACACTTTTCAACCACTATGCCAACTTAAATTTTAAAGCTGGACAAAATTAAACTGACATATAAAACACTTTTCTTAAAATTAATAGACAAACATGGAAAATACGCTTTTCCAAAAAGTTAAAATTTATAGTACTTACAGACAGCTGGAAAAATGCCTGCAATGGTGAGTAATGTGATATAAATCAGCAGAGAAAAAATATAAGTAAGTTAATAACAACACACACACTTTGGAAAAGAAAATACTTAATTTTTAAATTTTATCAAACTTATTTTTATTAGATAAATATGTAAAAGTGATAAGAATGAAGTAATCTAAGCCAAGCTGTGAATTAAAGGGGAGAAGTCTTATTTCTGTGTTGTCACCCTAGATAATGCAGTAGTCAGCAAAAGTTGACTGCTAGGCCAAACCAAGACTGTAAGTTCGATCCCATACGGAAGGTTTGCTTGAATGTATGCGTCTTCTTGCCTCCTCGTAAGTGTAATTACTGGTCTACTCCTTGTGCTTTATTCATATTAATATGATAACTGAATGCTCATATAATTTAGCCTCTTCTGATGAATATTTTTGATTAAAAACCTGCCCTTCGGATACTCTTACCCTAAAAAATTTCCTAGAAGAACAGTACAATAACACCCGTAATTGTTATTCTTTTTCTTCTAGAAAAGTGGCAAAATATAATATACAAAGGATCCCACATGCACAGAATATATCTTGTGAGATAATAGTAAACTCGTAAGAAAAAGTAGATGAATTTATGATTGTTTAATCCTTTTGAGATGGAAGTTTCACATATGCAAGTCTGCCAATGTTATCTCATAGCAGGGTGTATCATATGTGAATCACTGTTTAAACTGACTCTAAGGACAGGCATACAACATATGAATTTGTTAGAACATTTAATAAGTATTTTCTGTTACCACTAGATGCAGCCCTAGGTCTGTTATGATAGAATTTATTGAGACTGGAGAATGCTGACCTTCATTCTATTGCAGTGCTTTTTATTTTTAGTATTTTATTTTAAAACGAAAGTGTAAAATTGGGGGGGGGGATGTTCTCAATGTTTCTGAATACTTTAGTTTTTATTGCAGACATGCAAATGGCCTATTTTCAAATTTTGCCTACATGTGCTGTCTCAGAAGAAAAGATAAAAAAAATTCAAGATAAATTAATATTTAAAGTTTAATTTGAGCAATGCATTGCAAAAAATAACTATAAATATATTTCTACAATTTACAATATAAAAAAATCAACTGAAAATTTTTAGATAAAAATTTAGCAAATCAATAAAAATGATTTATCTTCCACTTCATGTCAAGTACATTACCTTTAGATTATTTTACCCCAATTAGTTTGTAAATCTGCCTAAAAGGGGGCAGTATATTCAAAGTAGTCTAATATAGATTGATTAGTTTATCTATGTCACTGAATATGTAGCACCCCTTTTAGACAGATTTACAAACTAATTTTGAGTAAAATAATCTCAATATAATGGACTTGATATGAAGTGGAAGACAAATTGTGTATGCGTCTTCTTGCCTCCTCGTAAGTGTAATTACTGGTCTACTCCTTGTGCTTTATTCATATTAATATGATAACTGAATGAATAATCATATAATTTAGCCTCTTCTGATGAATATTTTTGATTAAAAACCTGCCCTTTGGATACTAAAACATTTCCTAGAAGAACAGTACAATAACACCCGTAATTGTTATTCTTTTTCTTCTAGAAAAGTGGCAAAATATAATATACAAAGGATCCCATATGCACAGAATATATCTTGTGAGATAATAGTAAACTCGTAAGAAAACGTAGATGAATTTATGATTGTTTAATCCTTTTGAGATGGAAGTTTCACATATGCAAGTCTGCCAATGTTATCTCATAGCAGGGTGTATCATATGTGAATCACTGTTTAAACTGACATGTCCAGTATGTTACCTTTAGATTATTTTACCCTAATTAGTTTGTAAATCTGCCTAAAAGGGGGCAGTATATGTAGAGTAGTCTAATATAGCTTGATTAGTTTATCTATGTCACTGAATATGCAGTACCCCTTTTAGACAGATTTACAAACTAATTTTGAGTAAAATAATCTCAATATAATGGACTTGATATGAAGTGGAAGACAAATTATTTTTTTATTAATTTTTTAAAGAAAAAAAAAAAAAACTTCTGTAATTAATTTTTATCATGAATATAACACATTAATAGTTCATATTAAAAATAATTAAACTTCTTTATTCAAAAAAATAAATTAATTACAAAACAAAGAGGTTGAATAACATAAAACCTGAAATGGACAGGCATGTTTTGCCTATGATCACACATTTTAAGATTTATTTCTAAAAAATCTCAATTGATTTTTTAAATATTTTGAATCATAGAAATATATTTATAGTGATCTTTATGTAGTGTATTGCTCAAATTAAACTTTAAACATAATTTATCTTTAATTTTCTTTCTTTTCTTCTGGGACAGCATATGTAAGCAAAATTTGAAAATGGGCCAAATATATGTCCTATCATTTTAGAAGTTTCATTCATTCCTCTCAGAGTTGGTTAGTGGTGAGGTGAATATTTTTTGTATCATTTAGTGAAACATGTTTTATCCTTCAAATGGCAAGGAAAATATAATGAATAAGTTTTAATATTAATTCTGACAACTACCTGAGCACTCCTCACATAATATGACAAATATTAAAACAACTGGATCACAAATTTAATTTAGACTAAATTTTTCCAAAGTTAGTCTTAACAGCACGAATTACCCATCTCCACAAGACTGTACATCTTGTTAGCACTTTGTCCCAACAGGGTTGTTTTGGTGATTGAGGAACCCGTCACGAAAGGTTTAGTAGATATGAGAATTGTATAGTAACTGATGAAATTAACTATTTGCATAATAACATTAACTAATCAAAAGAGAGCTCAGTTCAGATGGATTAAAGACTGCTGCCAATGCAAAGAGCTTTATATCTTACTAAAATCATCACAAGAAAAGGTTGAATTTTACCTTGTTTGAAAGTCTGTGCTTTTATTTTGTCCACATTACAGCTGTATTATTTAAACTGAAAGTACTTCATTTATCATATTAATTAAAAAAACATAAAGCAAAATAAAATTACCTTGCCCAAGATTCAACAAATCAGTTTCAGAAGCTGCTGTCCCAGATGTACCAAGAGTACGGACATGAGCATAAGCCTTGCTAGTAGCAACAGCTGCGTCTTCCAACTGTTCCTTTAACTCATCTGTCATAACAAGACCATTCTGCTTCAAATCTATAATAATTCATATAAAAATGTCAGTGCTACAAGCATACAAATATAATTTAAGAAAAACTAAGTATATATATATATATATATATATATGCTGCACTTTAAAGACCAACAACTGTGAATTTAATCAGTTTCATTCATTTAAGATTTATTAAACATTACATTTAGCCTATCCCCTTTAAAATAAACAGACAAAAAATGCACAAATTAAAAACAACTGAATTACCAAATTATTTACATAATGGAACCAAACACTTCAATAAAAACAATCTAACACATGTAAGAAAACTAATCTATACTTTCACTTACATCTATTAAAGATACACATTCATACATAAAAGAAAAGCTTAAACACACATATAAAAAAAATAGTATTACACAGGAAGAGAAGAATATTGTAACAGCAAAATCTTTACAGGATGGAGTTAATTTTTTTTGCTAGAAATATGCTGCAAACTACTGCATAAATGTATAAATATTATAAATTACAAATATGAAATATATTTTCTAATATGAGTTAAATCATTAGAGTACTATTTACAACATGAAATTTATTTTTCATTCACAGGTGTTTATAATAAATTATAAACACAATTTAGAAATTATTATTATTTTTTGAAGCTAAAACTCAAATCTTCACCAGCTAATACATAAACATGAGGAAAGTTGCTAAAGGCACATTAAAAATTTGGACTGGAATGAACAGTGGCATTCCTGAGTGCTAGCTCACAAACTCTTTGGTGTTAGCACAGATAAGAAGTGTGACACCACTTGGCCTGTGCGCTTGAAAGCTGTAAATGATCTCGTGGGTTGAATATGGGTCTGATTCACAGAAGTCAAATATTACACCACCAAAATAAAAAAAAAAAAAAAAAAAAAAAATATGTAATGTCACAAATTATTTGGAATATGGCAAAAAAACACATGAGGGCTATCTGATTAAGGACAGGAATCTCTTCATTGAGTATTTTTGAAGGGAAACTGACTCATATACATATTGTCCATGGATAAAACTGGATAAAACCATCAAAACTCCCATGCAATTATTTAGCTTGCAACGATTTCAGCCTAGGTCAAATTACCACTACTTGATGGTCTTACTGCTCGGCTGTTGGTTTGCAAAATTTAGTAAGAGGTCTCAGGTTACAACTCTGTATTGGCAGAAATGTACTGTTTCTGAATACTAGTTGATATGAATTTTCCTCCTTTATTAAAAATAAAAACAGATTTTGCAACAGATAATGAATTTGAATGTTGGTTCTTCTAACTCTCCACATTAAAAATTAAAGTTCACTTATACACAATTTTCTTCAATATTTTTTTTTTTTTTTAAAAGAACTATATGCCAAAAATGAGCTGCTACTCTCCTTATATTTAAATTAAATTTTTAAAGCAAAATTAACAATTTCATAACAAGTGTTGATACACTAGATAATTTTCTTAATATCTACAATGATAATAATATTAATTAAAAAATTATAGTTTTTGAAAATCAAAACATATTTTAATTCATTTGGCTAAATTTTCCAACCATTAATTTGAATAAAATACTAGAAACTAAAATGCAAAAATGATATTGAGCACAAAGCATGGTTAACAAAAACTCAAAGCACATGCAAAACACAGAAACGCATACAACAAAATGAGACTGTGGAACAACTGATATGCTTATTATAAATCATTCCTATGAGAAATTATCAATATTCCACACAATTAATCCGTTGGAGACTAGAAGACTATGTACAGCATTTAGGCCAATTTACTAAAATAGTACTGAAGTTCATTAACTGAACTTCATCAGTGTTTCCTAAAACTCAGAAAATATTCATAGCATCAAGAAGATTAAACATAAATGGTTGATATTTTTACATTTCCAAGAACCTAAAAAACTATATATTTATATTATTTCCTGATATTTTGGCAATGAAATCGAAAATAAGTTAACATTACTTTTAATTCGCCGTCCTTCTTTGCAAAGATCTTTCCCTACTGTATCTTTTTCATCACCAGTCCGATTTGTTAATTCAACCGTGCTCACAGCTACAGAAGATTTTATTTCTTGTTGAGCAATTTTCATTTTTTCATAAAATACTTTGAAAAACTTCTCAGAAAAGTTTCCTCCAGTAAGCTTCAAAAGCATGGATTTCTAATACCAGAGTAAAAAAACAAATAAAATTAAATAAAAGAAAAATACAAATAAAATAAGTAGTACAATTATATCCACACTGCATACTAAATATATAATAATAATAATAATAAAAAAGACAGTACCTTGCCCATTTAAATTTTTAAATGAAAGAATAATATTTTATTTAAAAAAACTGTGCAATAGAGAAAGTCAATTTCTAATTGAAAAAATTGCAAATGGATATGATTTACATTTCTGACAAAAATATATAACTTAATAATTCTGGAGATTAAGAGGACTTTCATTTAGACATTTATAGATTAGATTTGTTGAGAACAAAAGGTACAAGGCAATGTTTATACAATTTAGTTTAGCCTTCATTTCTACATCAATTACAAGGTAAATGAATTTGAATATTGTATTTGATCTAATGAAATTTATCATTTTAATATTAAGTAGTGAAATCAAAGTTAATCCATATAGCCTCTACTGTTTTCACATTTATACGTACTAGGAATTATTCCTATAGTTCAAGGCATAAACAAACATACACATTACTTGCAAATACATTAGGAAAGAAGCAGAGATTTCAAAACCAGCATAGTTACCTGTATTACCGGATTTCCACCTTCCAACAAAGCAATTCCTAATTCTACACTTTCTAAAAATATGGCATGGCTGGGATTTTTCATGATCAGTTCTACAACTAAATTAGAAGCTCCTTCTTCATTCAAATGGCACTGCACTTCTGCTAAAGTCATCTCAGCTCGAGTCAGAATCATTCCTCCAGGCCCATGAATTATTGGAGTAGAAGCACCAGGTTGATTAACAGGCTGTTTGCCATTAACAATGCTGTCTCTTTTCTGGATTTTGCCAAAGTATCTTAAAAGTAAAGTCTGGCGCAATGCTTCCCCCTAAAAAGTATTACTCAATTTTTAAAAAGATTTAACAGTATGCAAATATTATTCACACTTATACATACAATATCTAAACTAATAAAAAGTTATCATCATATTATTTAATACTCATATTTAGATTAGCAAATATTATGTTTTTAAAAAGCAATATTTAGTGGCCATTATCTGATTAAATGGACTTTTACTAACATATGAAAATTAGTTGTGCCTCAGTTAAATTCATATAATTCAATAAATAAACTTAGAATGTGACGAGTAAGTACACAAACAGCTGACAGATTATCTAACATTCCAAACTAACAAATTATAGGTCTGTTTCCAAAGGAAGATTTAAAAAGTGTGGATGGAGAGTGTATTTCTAACACTATTAGTAAATGGATTTTTAGTAAATGGATAAATGTGAAGACTCACGTGAAACAATAGTGATATGCTGGTGGTGTGGTGCGTATTTAATTATAGCAAAGCACACGAGGGCTATCTGCCTAAGGGAAGGTATGCCTTCGTGGAAGACTTTCTAAGGGAAACTGGCTCGTATACATGTTACACATGGGGAAAACCACGAAAACGCCCATGCAGCCAGCCCGTTCGCGGGATTCGAACCACGGACCGAACTACCAGTGTGATATGCTGGTGAAATGACGTAATGTTCTTATTAATTGGAAACAGAGAATATTAAAAAATTAAATTACTGGAAAGTGGCAACTAAGAAATTTAAGGATATCTTGATTTTGTTTCTAACTTTCACAGTTATGAATATATTAAAAATATAACTGCAATTAGTATATCTCAGATGATTATTAAAATTATTATTAGAATTGGTATTTGTAAACCTGCTAATATCATAGTTTTATTTATACATATTCATGCCAAAATATGGTGCAGAGGTATGCATGGAATTCAACATAACTTATATCTGAGAATTGTCATCTTACTAAATAAATGCCACATTGCGAACAATGCAATCAATACTTTTCCAGGAAAAGCTTGGTAATACAGGTAGTAAATATTGTAAACTTTAAAAATGGAAACTTTTTTTAATACTTAAGTAAATGATACATAGTAAAGTCGTGAAATTTTAAAACAACGATTTATTAAAAAATGCACATTTTTATTAAAAAATATTTTTGCTTCTGTCTTGTTTGTTACTAACACACATTCACCTCAAGTATTATAACTAGTACTCCCCTCCCGAATGCTTAAGGTATCACAACAATTTTGCATAATTAAATTACTGTCAGTGTAAAGTGATGAAAGAGCAATCTTAATATGGTCATTTGCAAATTGATAAATTTTACCTAAAAATTTCTAAAATATTTAATTTTATACACTTATTAGATAATTCTGACAGCTGCTTGTAGAAGTAAACTATAGCACCATCTTTTTACAATGAAAAATCGAAAATATAAAAAATAAATTATAACAAATTATTGCGAAAAAAATTATGCAATTATGCAATTTATTAAATTCTTTTTCATAATTTATAACAATATTTACCATATACTTGATGAAAAATATTTAAACAAATTCTTTTACAATTATAAAATTACTAAATAGTACTCTTTTGCAATCAACAGCATAAGACTAAAAAATTGAAAATTGATTTTTATGGCTTAAAATCTCAAACTATGTTCACAGATAGTGAATACCTCTCAGTACAAAGTTTCTATTCATATATAGAGTGGCCTTCAAACTGTGTTCCATGAAACCCTGGGGTTCTGCAAGTCCAACCCAGCAGTTCTGTGAGTCAAATTAAAAATTTGACATATGACATATGTCAAAGAGAATGTGCAAAGCTTTGCAAAACTAAACAGTTTTTTAAAGGAAAATGAATTAAATTTAGATTGCAGTGTTAACATTTACACAATGGAGTACCTTTCTCATTTGAAAGAAACTATAAAAGAATATTTTAGAAGAAAAAACTAAGTATAACCCAATAAAAATTCGAATTAGTACTATAATAAATCAGAAGGCTTGTTAATGAAGGAAAGGGAATAATTTATTGACATATCAACAGATTCAAAGTTAAAATCTAAATTTAAGCAAGAACAGCTACTAAAATTTTTGGTTACATATTCATCCAGAAGACCCAAAAATTTCTCACACAAATATAAAAATTTTTATGCCATTCAGAGCAACCTATTTAAGAAAAAATTTTTTCTTGAAGTATGTGGCAACAAAAACAAAGTGCAGAAACAAATTAAATATGACTGCAGATAACATCAATGCCACCCCAGCCACTAAATATAATTCTAGGGTAAGTGTCACCTGGAGCACAAGTTAATGCTATTAATGAGTAAATTACATTAAAACTTGACATTAATTTTTTTAAATAAAAGACAATTAACTGTCTTTACTTAAAATATCTATAACATACTGATATATTTTCAACATTATTTTTAGATATATCCTTCTAAGGTTGGGCTGGGGTTCTTAAAAAAAAAACTTTATAAGAAAACCATCTAAGAGTTACGCAAGTCAGCTAAGTTTGAAAACCATTGACATACAGCATCAGTTGTTGTCAAATTACATGCAAAGAATTCTACATTTATCATCTTCAAAAAAATACTTATGTATTATAAACTGAAGGAAAATAAACAATCTACATGCTACATTCTAACAATAACAAAAAACAAATAAACTATACATAATGTATCAACAAATGGAATGAAAAAGTTGAATAATTTATACAAAAATTATAAAAACAATTACTGGGAAGGGGATCTATATGGATGTGCACAAATACAAAGTTATATTAAGTGAAGCCATGAAGAGTAAACTAAATGAATAACACTACATTTTTGCCAATCATGCACATGCACATCAGATGGACCATTAATTCTTACCCTCATCTGATCTTCTATTTCCTTCTTTGTTAGAGCTTTAGCCTCTGCCTAAAACATTAATAGCATGAGAGAAAGAAAAAGAGCAAAGCACTGAAACTGTTAGGAAAGAGAGAGATTTAGAAAAACAGCGAGAGAAAAATTTTGTTAAGATTACAAAACAAGCTGCAGTATGTTTTTACAAATAAAGAGAGTACACACACAGCACTTTGTGAAACTTAGTATAAGCTTTTAGTATATGCAGAAAGAAGACAACTAAGACTTGAAGAGGAAAAGTTAGATAATTCATTCATGTTAACAGCTAAATCACATTCAGTGTAATTCATTCAGCACAATTTCTCAATTTATTCTTTTTATTATGATAATTCAGAATATATTCTTTATTTACGATATTTGGAATGAAAAACAAAAACATATGAAATCATTTGCAATTACCTTTTTTGAAAATTCTTGAAAATTCCCTTGTTGAATAATAATTACACATGTGCAGTTTTCTTTTACTTTTGACTGTTATGAATGGTAATCAAAATATTTCCATTTAAGAGCATTTAAGTACTGTGTATGATATGTGTGGCTGTGAACCTCTTCTGAGTGAACTGATAGACCATGATCAGACATCACGAGTAAGATATGTTTCTACATATGGAATGTTTGATTTGCCATGGCTATGAAATATGTTTAATGCAGATCAACTTGCAGATCTCTCTCTCTCTCTCCATTAAAATATATAATATATATATATATATATATATATATATATATAAAGGGAAGTTATGAAGTTGGAACTGTGATATCCCCAATATCAGAGCACTTTTGACAATCTGCACTTATATCTCATGTTGAGTAATTTTTTTCGTTTCCCAACAGATGACAATGTCAGTTAGTTGATGACTTTGTGGCAATCAAGCAGCATGTGCATTTAATTAAAAAATCCACATACTGATTTTAGAGTCAGAATTGGACTTTTGCCTTGGGGAAAAATATGTGGTTCGTATGCTAAAGACTTTCATTCAAACACCAGGATCACTTTATGGGCACCAAAGCAATGGCGGTTCAATTAACATCTTCAACTAGGAAATAATGCCATTGAAGGTGGCAATGAGTAAGCCAGTCCCTGGTTCTCTCTCTCTCTCTCTTTTTTTTTTCTTTTTTTTTGAAGATGGATTTACGTAACTTTTCACGTGAGAAGTGAATATACTTCTATAAGGGACATCTTCAATCTAGTTCACCAATGAGACTTAATGCTAATAATAATTCCTTCAAAATAATGAGCACCTATTACGTCCTATGACTCTTAAATGGAAACATTTTGATCACTAAATATAAAAAATTTTTGAAAGAGCTACAATTCAAATGATCCCAAGCTCTTTTAAAGTGTATTTAACCTTTAATACTCTAAACATGAAGAAAGTACATTACCAATAACTTTTCTGCTAATTTTTTTTAAAGCAGTAAACTTTATTGCTGTTGCAAGACTCACTCTACTTTATTATGCATAAATATTAAATAATTACTCACTGAACTATTTTTGGGAAAATGAATACAAATCATTAATGTTTCCTCAGCAGTCTGTTTTATATTAAAAAATGTTAACAATCTTCAATCAAAATAAACAAACAGTTATTAAAAGAGACCATACAATAAGACAAATATTTATTCATTGTATGACATATATATTATAATAATAACCATGTAATATGATAAATTATTGCATGTGATGTAAAAAAAAGCAGATACTTTTACATGTAATCCCAAAATAGTATGCAAATAGATTATTAATTCAGCTCCTAATCTAAAATTTAATGCATGAGGCATGACATCATGTATAATTTCACACACACACACACACCACACCACACACGCACGCACGCACACACACACACACACACACACACACAAACAAAACAAAAACAAAATTCCAATGGAAAATCAATAAAAGTTTATTACTTATTTACCTCTAATACTCTCAAACTACAAAAGAGGGATGTTCAAATATAGATTACAATTTATCAGCTAAATTTTATTCATTGAATACAATGAAGAAACTTAGTCACAATGCAAATCCAATACCCATTTCAGTGTTCAAGTTTTCTAACTCCAGAAGAACAAGTTCTAGACTGCATGTTGATCTAGACTTGCATGATGTCAATAACCCAATCATTAGACTTTATAATTTCTTTGTCTTTACACACTTATCCATTTTGACTGCAAAATAAAAGTAGCACTCAGATGTTATTATAGTGTTTAAAATCTTACCTCCATTTTTTTCATAATGCTGCTGTAGTTGTGTGACGGTAACCAAATTTTGGTTCAGAAAACATAGCACTCAGATTGCTAAATTTAGAATGACCTTTGATTAATGTTTCCATACTACCAACATTTAGTTTAGGTATTCCCCCTTTAATTTCTCTGATGGTGATTCTTTAATCAACCCCAATTTGTGCATCAGTGGCAGTCATCTTGCCTTCACCAGTTAAGGTTTTTGGCCAACAACATGCAGCTCCTTTTCAACTCTCACTTTTTTTTTAAAAAATTATAATAATAATAAAAAAAACTTGCAACAATTATACCCTGCAGTTAAGAAAGACATTACAAACTTACTTTTAAGTAGTGAATAAATATAAGATGGAATAACACTTTTATCTGTCAAAAATCTAATGATCATTCACTGTACATCTGTTGTAAATCTATTGCTCTTACATGTCCATTATAATTAACAGGGCTGATAGAAAGAGAAACTAGTACTGCTATTGGCAATTTCAAATATGTATGTGCTTTCACAGTGAATGTATTGAATTCTATACAAGAATCGGGTATGAAAATTCCTGTTTATATTTGAGCATCCCTTATATAATGATGTATATATTATATGCATGTTTATACATATGAAGCAGCTCACAACAGATATCAGTAGACATGCACATATACATGTGCCTGATATGTCAGTATATTATACATAAAAATGTATTTCAATATGAAAATATGTAATACATAACATACTTTTTCACCATAATCAGGATCCAAAGACATCATCTCTTTTAAAGTCTGCAAAACTTTTATACATAATTTTTCCTCTTTTTCTTCAAGCAATCTCTCTGTATGACTAATAAGCCTAAGGATGCAAAATTTTACAATTAATATAACAGTTACATAAAAACATAATTAAAAACAAATGCAAAGAAATAAAAAAATTAAATGCAAAATAAAACACTTTTTACCCCAATATATATAATAAATATTTCAAAACACATCATAATCAGACAATTGCCAAATTGCTTTGAACACTTTATTTCCCTTTTGACTACTAACCATAATGTTAAACGTACAACGGTTTCTTGCATGCATTATTGATGTTTACATTTTTTAACCCTGCTTATGATTATAAGTTAAGAAGGAAGATACAGAGCTTTTAAGATAAATTTTCTGTAATTTTGGTTTTTAAGGCCATATAACATTTTTGCAGTAATTATGCCTATAAATTTACAAAATGGGTTTTAAGTATACCTAGATTTTGATGGCTACAGGAATATATTTGCAATACATTATTCTTTTACTGCACTTGGCAACAATATTAAAACTATTTCAATTTAATTTTGAGGGGGGATAATTTTAGTTCTGTCATGATTTGAATTAGTGAGGTTGGTTTGCTTAAAGTTTGTGAATACAAATGAACACCACTTTATAACATCTTAAATTTGTTTTACTACTTGATTTCGTTACCATGTGATCAGAATGAATCACTGTGAGCAAAACAAGATTTTTCACTATAAAATATTAGATGTGCAAAGTTTGTTTTAAAACAAAGAGGAAGTACAGAAACAAGAACTGTTTTAAGATGACATACCGAAACACATCTACATAGTTATACAGAAATATATAGAGGCAAACAAAGAATTAATGAAAAGTGCAATCAGAAAGCTGTAAAATCTAGCATTTTTGAATCACAGACATTGCTCTCTTCACAATAAAGAATGTAAGATTTTTATAAGTTTGCTTCTTTGATGAGTCAATATTCGAAGTTCACAGATAAAATATTTTAACCCATAAGGACACTCAATGAGAAATCTTATATGAATTACAGTCAGCAAACAGTCAGACACCTAGTATCTGGTATAGTTTAGTCCATAATATTTCAATATGTAATTGAAAGGCCTTACACTGAGGAGGGGGGACCTACAAATCAATAAAATTCAGTCAAAAGTCGTTAATCCGAACCTCAAAGCTATAAATTTTAACGCATAATGCATTGATGCATGCACGTAATACCTTTACGCATGTGCACATGCGTGTATGCATGTGCATAATACGTTTACGCATGCACGTTTAATGTATAACAGATGGTATAAGCTAGGCTAAAATTATCTATTTGTTGTAGATTGCGTAGTTCCTTAATCTTCGAATTGGATCCGGCTTATTATTTTTTGCAGACTGTTAGAGCAATTTTATAAAAGTAAGTTAGAACTTTTGATTATGTCAAATAGAATTTCTGATTCTGGAACTACCAAAGGATATACAAAGCGAAAGCATGTTTCGATGTCCATCAAACAAAAAGTGGAATTGCTGCAAAAAATGGATAAAGGCATACCCTTTGATTCTCTAATCATTCCGAAATATGTTCATCAATTTCATGCTGCTCTGCTGAGTGCGGGGGGGGGGGGGGGGCGTCGCGGCACACAATGAACTGGAAGTTGATCTATCAGAACTATCCTCATCTTCAGGGCAGATGTTTTTATTTTATTTGGCTTATAATTCCTTACTAAATGTAGTATTTTATCTCGATGTACTCCGTCTCTGATATGATTTAAATAAAATTCCTCGTCATTATAAATATCACGAATACACATCAAATAGTTTTCTGGTTGCAATTTTCTAATTTCGTCTATGCGTAATGTATGCTTTACGCATGCGCGCATTGAAAGAAATGTTTAATAAAGTAAACAAATAAATATTAAGCTTTTTCTTTTGTAAATTTTGATACCCTTTAGATCATAATTGCTCTTTATTTCATAAATTATGGTTTCATATTTTTAATTTTATTTCTGCATGCCATCTTACCAGATTTAAACTGATGATCTATAATTCGGAATCGCCGAAGTCCCAACGAGTCCAGATTAAAGACTTTTTACTGTATTTGAAAATCCTTTTTAAAAGTACGACATTTCATACATGAAACTGGTTTTTAAATTTCTACATATTCTAGATTTCTTTCTTTCAGGTAAGACTACAGGGAGCTAATGTTAATTTCTTTTACAGTTAAAAAACAGCCTGGAAATAAATTTAAGACAAATGTATTTAAAATTAATAATGCAATACTAAGGTAGATGAAATATGCATTAAAAATTATTATTTCAACGTTAAGCACAGATCATAAAGAATCTTACTTTGATATAAATCCACCATGCTCACATTTTTTTCGAGCTTCAGTCCCTGGAGGAAATAAAAGTTCAGGCCTGTGAAGAACATCTACCAAAACAGACAGTTCTGATTGGACCAGTGGGTGAAGTTGATCTTCTAACAAAGATACTATGTCCTAAATAAAGTATATCAAATATAGGGCACCTTCGAGTATTTTAAAAACATTTTAAGATCTTGAGCACATTTCACATTTAGTATTATATTTATTTTAACATGATTCATACATAAATTTGATAATTAAATAAAAAATTATGGTACCTGAGAATTAGTTGGCATCTGCCAATATGCCACTAATAATACACTAACCAGCACACAACTTAACTTGCAGGATATGGAAATCTTAGAAGTTGTCCTAGATTCTTCTGAAAAGAAGTGAGTTTTTAGCTTGAACCAATTGGGGGGGATAAGATTTTTTTTTTTTAAATTTTAATGTTTAATTAATATTTAATAACTAATAAATTATAATTATTTTTGACATAAAAATAAATTTTAATAATCTTAATAAATTCTAATGTAAAAAATTCAGACTAATAACAGCAAGAGCATACCTGCACAGAGTCATTTTTTTGGGTAACCCTTTTCCCATGAAAGTTCTCAGAATATAACTTTTTAATCTTGTGCTAATTTTTAATACATTCTGCAAAACCATTTTACCAAATCTGCTCAGAAATGATGTAGAAGTAATTAATTATTTCTAGGTATATAAAATTTTGCCTAAAAATGACAAGTGTTCCATTTCTCATGCAAGGAAATTGTAGAAGACAAAGATGCAATGTTAACTACATCAATGTGTCAGAATAAGAATTAGGAACTGGCTCAAAGGAAGTCATTTGCTTTCTTATTTAGAAGAGTTCATATGAAGGCACAGATAATAACAATTTACTTAATTTGATTTTGAATTCAACTGCTAGGTAACGCAAGCTGGAAATATAAGGCAGGGGGAACCATTTAACAAAACTGCTGATACTGAAAATTTATTTCATTGACAAAAGGCATCAACAGATTGCTGGGAGTGTATTGGCAGGTGTCAGCTAATATCCAGATACCAAGAAAACTTACATTACACTAAGATTTTTACCTGCAGACCTTCAATAATACTCCGGTCATTTTTAAATACATTTACAGAGGAAGGTATTCTCCTTGGAGTTCGAGCTGCTGATAGCCATGCTCTAGTATGCTTACTTATCATAGCATTTTTATTAAACATTGCAGCCACCTGAGTGTCTAAATCAACAGGAATAGCAATTCCTCTGTTCTTTCCTGCAATTAAATTGTTATATATATATACATATTCTGTGTGAACACGTACACACATATATATTTTATATAAATTTTAAAACAATATTATGCTTTTAAGTTTACCATCAAAATCTCATAAAAAGTTCATAACAAGAGTCGAAAATAGCTATAAAAGAATTTTAGTGATATAAAAAATAGCTGTTTCTATGGTGGAGGAGAAGGCTCATGTATGAGGATCACAAATACATTACAGTACAAAATTAACATTCCTTTTAATACTTTTTTACATTTGTTTTCTTATTATTATAATTACTGAAGAAGGTGCTATTGTTTAACTGCATAATATTCATGTTCTTAGCCAAATAGAAATTGTTACTATATTTTTTAAAAGAAATATTTGTAGTAATAAACGTTTTGCACAACAATCTCGTAAAAAAAGGGGGAGGGGGAAAAAAAGAACACCTGCATTTTGAATAAGTTTACTTTTCTTTATAGAATATGTGGAAAAATCTGTGGAAAGCATTAACTTATGACAAAACACATATGATGATCAAAGCAAGTCCTTACCCCTACACTATTGGGTGCTTTTATTTTGAATAACTTTTTCTAAACTATATATGCTGATTACTGAAGCCTTTACATGACTAATGACTATAATATTCACAATAAATTATAACTGCACATTTATATTTACATATAAAGGAACAAATATTTTAATAAAGTACCTAGATCAGGGATGGGCAAACTTTTTCGATCGCGGGTCAAAAATCGAAAAAATAAAGTTTGGCGAGCCAAGATGAATTTTTCTAAAATTTTAAAAACAATATACAAGTATTACAATTTAATATATTAATGAGATGAATGAAATTGCGATTTCATTTTTAAAAGTTCCTTATATTGAGGTTTGAAGTGAGATGTACTGATTCTAAGGAACGAGGCTAAATGCTCATCTGTCAGTCTACTTTCTGAAATAATTCTTTTTCTAAGGTTCATAGTTGAAAACACTTGTTCACATATATAAGATGAAGCAAACATAGCACTGATTTTCTGGGCATGAGATATTAAATTTAGGAAACTTACTTTCGATAATGATTTGTAAAACTCTAACTTTGGCATATTTAGAAACAATTGCTTGAGATGATTGTTAGATTGCAACTCAATTAATTCAAGCTGCAAATCTGACCTCACTGCTTCACAATTTACGTTGAATGGTATGGTAAAAATATCCAATTCTGCTTGAATGGCACTGAAATCTTGAAATCTGCATTCAAACTCAAAATGCAGTTTTTTCAAGCTATCTTCATAATTCTTAAGGTTCTCTTCATTTACTGAGGGTATTGAATTTAACCTCGGGAAATGAGATAAGTCGTTCTTACCTAGCTGCCCAGCAAACATATTAAGTTTTAGTTTAAAAGCTTTGATATGTGATCAAATGTCGTCGATAAATTGATTTTTCCCTTGCATCTTGACATTCAAGTTGTTCATATGACAAAGAAGATCTGTGAAAAATGCAAAGTCTGAAAGCCATTTTGTAGCTTCTAACATTTCGCACTCCGCAGAACACTGTTTCTCATGGAAGAAGGACACAATGTCATCTTTCAGCTGCCAAACGCACTCGAAAACACATCCTGCATTAAGCCACCTTACTTTCGTGTAATACAGTACATCAGAGTATTCAGATTGCACTGACTGAAGAAAATCTTGAAATTGCCTGTGAGTAAGCCCACAAGATCGAATAGTATTTACAAGCTTCACGACTGTATCAAGCACGGGTTTCATATTCAATGCAGATTTACACAGAACATTTAAAGGGAAAATCGGAAAGTATACCCAACAGGTTGCTAATAAAACCTAAACAAATTCTTGAATATGCCGAAACATCAGTTTTAAAGGCTTTGATGTTATGCACATGCATTTAGATTTCGAACTGTTTCTTAATGATTTTCTGTACATAGTAAATTACAGATATCATCTTTATAACTTTAAAACAAAAAATTAACAACAACGAAACATTTCATTATAAATTTAACATATTTATGCTGGAAAATACATGCACAGAACAGCATAGAAACACATACGTTTCACTGCTGTAATTCAATGTTTTGAAGTTACAAATATGGACACCACTTGTTCAGTGGAGTTTCATTTCCCGATAGTGGAGGAAACTGCAAACCTTTCCTCCTTCTATTCTAACCTTGTAAAAAACATTAGGCGTAGCCGCACTTAAACAAACTTTTAAATAATTAATAATTTTACAACTATTGCATGCAGATTAACTAAAAGTATACAAGCCTTAACTGGAAGATAAGAACAACATAATTCACTAATTTTGAAATCAGAAAATGCACAATTTAAGAACATAAAAGAATAAAAAAAACTGAGCTCACAGAGCCGAGTAACAGAGTGGGTACATATATATTTATATACTTTTGGTGAGGCCGACTGCAAGCAAAAAGGGAGATCAACTATATGTTATGGCAGCCCCATATACAAAATTTCAACATTATGAGGCTACTCGTTTTTGAGTTATGCAAGATTCAAACATCCGTACAAACATCATGAAAAAATCTCTTTTGAATCCATTTTAAATCAATTTTACAATTGGTTTGGGAAAAAAAAGTCCTTTGTTCTGTCCTTATGTACAGATTTCATTTAAAAAACATCATTAAATTGCATTCAATAGCAGTCGAAATGGATATTTTTGTTGATATATGATACCCAGAATTGTTCGTTATTACAGTACTTTCTTCAGATAACTATCTACAAATTCCAGATAATTTTGAACAGCTTTTTTAAAATGAATGAAAGGGTCACTAATTTTGAATTCTTGGAATATTTTTGGAATGACACAATGATAATAATTTGGAATTTATTATAATTTCATGCATAAAATATTTTCTTTAGCTTATAAAACAAAAACTGAGCAATATATCTTTTATAGTTATATTTAAATACATAAATAAGAATTTTTACAAGCATTACCAATATCAGATAAAGTCTTGATGCAACTTTCAACATTCATCCTTTGTTGTATAGTCAACCAAGCACAATTTGATAATCTAAATGCTCCTTGTAAAAGACGCACAAATACTGGCTGATGTGTCTTAAAGAGAAAATCACACATATATTATTAGAAAAAATTATATGGCTAGATTTTGTGATTTTTACAGCAAACCTATTTTCTAAATTCATATACAAATACTACACATATACACATGCAATATCACGTACAACATGCATAACAGAGATGGACAGAGAGATATACATGCATAGACTCAGTTATTTTATAATTAAAAGGAAAAATGTATGATTAATACATGACTATTTTTATTAGAAAGGTGTAGAATAAAAATTAGTAAACACTTGATAATTTTCTGCAAGCAACCATGCTATAATGGAGCTGTTCCTCAGCCAGTAAATTAATAACATATATAAAAAGTAAAAAATTTAAAACCAACTTCATAAACAAATGAATATGGAATGCCTCTGCATCAGGAAGGCATTCAAAAATTCTTGGATGAACAGTTATAATTATATAATTTAGACTGGCTCATCAGCTAATTTTGGATGAACAGAAAAGCAGTGGTTTTCCTGGGAGGAGGGATTGAATTGAATCTGATCTCTCTCTTCTTGATAACGTTGAATCAGATTTACATTGTATTCCTCTTCCTGTATTATTTGCTATAATTTTGTCCATATCTGTAGTTTTTGGGAATTGTTCCGGTTTGGTGATTACTGGTTGATGTTTTTTCCAAATTTATTGGAAATTTTGGATTTTACTTATATTGAATTTCATTTATTTCATGTCTTTGTGAATTTGGTTCTAAATTTCTTCTTTTTGTCTAAAATTAATTAATTTTTTAGCAGCATAATACACGAAAATAGTATTGAGATAATTCTGTTTAAAAAAAAAATTGTGATACTGTAACATAAAAGTAAGCAGCTATTAGTGGCTTTTACTAATAAAAAAAGTTTAACAAAAACTTGGGATTTAGACCTAACAACACAAAGGAAAAAAGTTGAAGTTTCCTTTATAAACTTTATTGTAATTTAGGCTAGCTCCCTGATTACTTTCACTATCTTCTCAGATCAAATACATAAAAATTAAGGAATGTCAGAGTTCCAATTTAAAACCTGTAGACATAATGACACTCCAATCAACCCTAGTGCAACAAAGCATCAAAATTTGAAAAAATTTAATTATAAACATGTAAAACTTGTAATATTGTTTACATTGAAAAAACTAAAAATAATCTTAACATCAAAATCAACAACCACAGATCACACATAAAAAATCAATAACAATAGTATTAATTCAATTACCAAGAAACTAAAAACATTTCAAATTTCATGATTTCAACAATACAGTTTTAAAGATCTTAGATACTATTCCTACTCTTACATATAGATTTTTTAAGTAATCTCTTTATATTTTACAGTTTAGTATGCTTTATCCATATGGATTAAACTCTTCAATTAATAATAAATCTTTTATGTTACGGTTTACGAACAGTTTCATTTTTTCAGCAAGAAAACACAAAGAGGTGCCAGAGAAAAAAATCAAAAAAGTAAAAGCTTCTATATATACTACTATACTAGAATCAAAATTCCAGGATATGTTTGATAAGCCATATAAGGAGAAAAATATTCTTGATAAGCTTTGTTCATTCACTCGCAGGCATCTACTTATCATTCAAAATTTCTTCAAAAATAAGTTTACAGGCAATAGCCTCACCAAACATTTAGTAGTTGACTTTATCAAATTTAAATTTAACTATAATTTGTCTAAGTCTAAAATAATTTTCTGTACTATCAACTTTCTTCATAGGGGTTTTGATGATTTCAATCTACATTAAATCTTTACACATGCGCACAGGGGCATAGTCTCAAGGCATGCAATACATGCCTATAAAATTGAAATTGTGTAAAAAGAATTATTATCTTTTAACTCATTTGTATAGTAAAAACCTTATTTATTATTTTAAATATACTGTTTTGCATTGCATCATTGATTTTATTTCATATCAGAGATTCAAAATAGAACATGTAGCATGCTGTTGTGTCCTCTAATTCTGCTTTCTCAAGCTATCCATATATCAGCATCTAAAATAAAATAATGTATTTCAGAAAGACAAAGAGAAAACTTTATTCCTTCTTTTTTCCTGCTATGTGAGATGATTGAACAGTTTTTCCCTATCTGCATGCTCTCTCAACACAAAGCATTCAAGAAAGAAGAAATGAATATTCATTGTTTAGCTCTGAATTTAGCATTATTTATCATTATGTTTTAAACATTACTATTGTGCAATTGTCAGTTTTCTGCTTCGAAGTTTACATTTAAGTTTAAAGCTGCTTATTTAAAGTAGGCTTATTTTTTAGATGCTTATTCTTATTTCTGAACTTCTTTCAAAATTCTGCATGATGATGTATTGTACCAGTGATATTAAATGAAGCATCGTTTCACAAAAATTTTGATACATAGATAAAAATGAAACAGGGGCTTTTAAAGGACTTAATTCAACTAATATTTCAATTTTGATCATGCTCTGAAAAAAATGACTTAATGATAAAATTTAGCGTTCATGCGCTGTAAATATAACGATAAAATTTGAGACATACTCAAACTGCATAATGCAAGAAAACTAGCTAGTTAGTTAATAATTTATGATGTTAAAGAAAAGCCAAACTTTTCCCATGATCATCTGTAGTTGTGAATTTAACAAATTCAGTGTGCTATTTATTAGTACCTAAAAGACAGCCCATGTCCGATTATGGCACTTTAATTTTTTGAGTGAAATCATAATTTTAGCCAGACTGTAATGAAGCTAAAGTTAGGCCAAACTCCTTGTACATCTGAATTGCAATATTAATGGAAAATACTGTTAACAGAAAATATTAATGATAAATTTTACTTAGCAGTTAGTTAAACTAATGTTGGTACTAGAAACAGAATGAGTGACTAAATTTCCATGCAAAGAGCAAAATGCATGGGAAAACTTCAGCAGTTGAAGAAGAAAATTCTTCTTGTCAAATGGCAAACCCCTCAGAAAATATTTGAAGGGTATATTCATTTGGTCAAAATGTGTTTAAATGGATTAGAAGCCAAAAATAAAAATTCATATATCTCAGTGGGAAGAAAAACACTTTTTCTTCTCTCTGAGGTACAAACTCCATTGTATGCCTGAATTGCAATATGAATGTAAAACATTGTTAACAGAAGATATTAATGCCATATTTTATTTAACAGTTAGTAAAACTGATATTAGTACTAGAAACACAATGAGCAACTGAATTTTCATGCGGAGAGCAAAATGAATGGGAAAACTTCAGCAAATGAGGAAAAAAAAATTCTTCTTGTCAAAAAGCAAGAACCACAAAAGACACTTTTTGGGCTATATTCATTTGGTCAAAACGTTTTTAAATGGATTAAAAGCAAAATAAAAATTAACCTTTATTTCAGTGAAAAGAAAAATATTTTTCGTTCCACTGAGATATAAGTGCATTCTTGTTTATTCTTGTTTTACCCTGAATAAAATATTAATTTTTGTTTTATTGTCCCCCCTGTGCAGAGGTTAGCAGAGGCTGACTTCCAGTCTGAATGTCAGTGTTTATGTGTTCTTGATCTTCTCATGAGCCCATTATCAGACCACTCCTGGTATATTGTGTACAATGTTATTCGAGATGAGACAGCTTAATCAGTCTGGCTGTTATCGACAAATGCATGAGAAGCATGTATCCAGCCATTGTCGGGGGGGGGGGGGGGGTGAAGAAGAAAAGAGAGACAGCAAGAAAGAAAACTACTACCTTTTATCCTTTGTATCATGTCTTATTATTATGAACTTACTCACCTTTCATTTCTTTAACTATTTCATTAAATGTTTTCAAATTATAGTATATCATTAACTTAGTTTAGCAAAATATTTATACCTTTTTATTTTATTTAATTTTTCATTATTTATTTCTTTATCTATTCTTTTATTTATCTGTTTTTTCCCTCTTTGATTCTGTTTTTGTCAGCATTCTATAGAAGTTCCAGCACTTCTAATTTTAAAAATTAAATTCTGGTTGTAGTATTATAACATGTTTAGAGCAATAAAGACTAGATCTTATTAAAATAAAGCATTAAAACTAAGCACATTAAAATGGCTATAAAACTTTATAAAGATAGTACATAAAAGGCAATAAAATATTAAATCGATAGATATATAATGTATATGCCTCCATAAAACAAGAGCTGTCTTAATCAATGTGCTAATTACACAAATAGATGAAATTATATAAAATTGATAATTTTAAGCAAAAGTAGGAAATGTAGGCATACTTTAGCATGGATATTTCATATTGCTTAAACTTACTGATTTTATAAATAGCAATTAAAAAACAATATGAATACCCTATACAGAAAATAATGATTTCTTAGTTTGTTTCTTTCTAAAAAGCACAATCACATATCACAGAAAGCCAATATGTGGAACTGTAATATGTTCAGGAAAGCAAACAGAAAGCTTGATTCTAGAAGCCCAAATTTTGAATTTGTTTTATTATCTATTTCATATTTTGTAAAACTTTAACGAATTTTTGATTAACAATTAGCGAGCAATGGCTAGACTCTACTGGGGGGGGAAGGTTACTACTTTACCTATTTATTTATGTACAGCGTGCAGAACTGTGTATCAGAAATTCTAAAGATATGCTCATTTTAAAATTATTCTACTATATTGCTGTTAAACTGAATTTTATGGTTTAAGTCCAAAGAACATGATATTTAATAAATAATGGTAACACACAAAACGTTAAAAAAACACCCCTTTGGACGTAATTTAAAATCTGAAACCTTTCAGATTTTTTTTTAAAATTTTTATTTTATTTTATTTATTTACCTCCCCCTTTTTTTAATTTGGTGTTCAGCAGCATGCCCTTTGTGAAAACTCAGCATATGCCATACATTAATCTTTCTATACAGTAAAAGGTATCTCTTAGAAATTAGAATCTAAAAACTTAATATGCACTGTTGTTTTTAAGTCCATTGACTATGGTCTGCCAAAATTTTAATTCCTAATACCTTAGTTAATTATGTTACGAGGATAGAATTACTTTTTATTTACATAATATGTGCACGAAAAATTATTTTTTGATAAATTATTATTTCTCTATAGGGCCAGCATAATGATTTTCACTAAAAGACCAAAATTCTCAGAACATGTAGTAAGCAAAAATTGCTTTTGATAAGCAGAAGAGATGAAGAAAAAGAAATATCTCAATTGATTTAGCCTTCAGATCGGAAGCATTTTTGAAAATATCCCATATCATTTCATTATTCAACAGATATAATAAAAAAGAGATTTAATGCAGTTAGTTACTGCAAAAAAGAAAAAAATCTCTAAAATAAAATTTACATTTTTACAAACATTTAGGTGATAAAATAATGTAGCATTTAATAAAAAAAACTTACTACAATAAATATTTTACACTAGATTCACAACACTAATGTTACTCATGCGTTTAATGAGTGAACACAGCTCGTGTGTTCGATTATATAATATCAATCCATCTGAAAATGAAGTTAATGATTTAAAAAAACCATTAACAGCAATTTTAAATAAATGACAAAATTTTTATGCAAATTTTCTACTTAATTAACTAAGTAGTTTAATTAAAAAGACTCAATTTTTAATATTATGACTCAATCTTCCTTAGTTTGGCATTAATTTTAAAGTAATGCTCTATCACTTCAAAAATATCTGAATTGAAATTGCTTTGGCCTTTCTAATAAACAGTCAGATTATGTTAGTCTCCCTAGTGTATATTAAACAACACCTGAAAAAAAAAATACTATGCAATTTCTAAAAATACACACACTTGGTGCAAAGGCCTAAGTAAGGTTATAATATAAATACAGAAACCTTAAGTGTGAAGTCAAATTATACTAAATGAAAATAAAATAATTTCAAAGCTTTATTCAAGCTAATTAATGCTATTATGGCTCAGAATTTTTATATCATCATCTTTGAAGCATTTGAAAATAACTACAGATTTTCATGATTACTGCTGATTCTGCTATAAACCATTAATCATTTTGATTTCTAAAATAAGTTGAAAATTATTTTAGATATCTCTTAATCACAAATAATTCACATAAACTGCTTGAACTAATAAGAAAAAATTTAATATTAATTCCTTAGCAACCTAATATTTTTAATGAATTAATTAATAAATATCTTATCAAATAATATGTATTTATCACAGAACAACTATATACTTATGTTTAAGACATTCAACATTTACAAAATATTCTTATCCAACACACATTAAGTTATGTGTTATTAAGAATTACAAATTAAGAATATGTGTTGAAAATATTAACACAAAAACAAAGACTCACTCAGCACACACAAATATGAATTTGAAACTTTTCTCATGCTTATGTATTTTCAAACTATATCATACTCACATCAGTAAGATCAATTGCCGTTAATTGCCCTTGAGCCCAGAACACCCTAGCATGCAAAAGTTGCTTCTGATAAGCAGAAAAGATGAAGAAAAAGAAGTAGCACAGGTAGACATGCAAAAAAGGTAAACTAAGAAGGTAAAACCATTCTCAAAATTATATAAAATACAATCTTTAACCATTGTAAAATTAAGCAAATAAAAAATGAATAATAAGAAAGAAACTGATTTCAGTTTAATAAAACTTGGAATTTCTGACTGATGGATAGATAAATAAATAAATATTATAACAGTATTAAAATACATAAAAAATTCTCTAGTACTTGTAAATAATTTATATTTAAAGAAGAAATAGAAAAATTCTTAACTTTGCTTCTAAAGAAACTAAATTTTACACAAAATTTTGATACACTGTTTCAATACTACACAATAAATCGGAAAAAATTATATTTCTTTTAAGGTCGCATATAAGAAGTAAAATACACATGCACAAAAGAACAGTGCTTCAGGCATAAAGCTGCATCCAACACCATGGTGCACAAAAAGAGTTACTTGATACATTTTAAAACTCACCCAGTTGGTTTTGATGTTTAAGCAGTGCAGAAAATGTTAAAAAAGAAAACAAATCATTGTTAGATAATTACGTACACTCAAAAACAATATTAAAACTTAGTTTCATTAAAAACTGAAAGCATGATTATGTAATAAGATTCAAAATTAAGTAATTCGATATAGCATTATTGAAAATTACCTCATAATATAGATTATAAAAAACAGTAAGTATAAAAATGCATTGCTAAGCATTATAATGTTAAAACTCTTGTAAAATCTTAATAAATGAAAATACAAAAACATTAAAAATGGCTTAGTTCACACTCAACTTTTCAAAACCATGCTTATCTCAGATGAAATTTAATACCTTACAAGGTCTATAATCACTTTATTCACTGCTCCTGTAAATGTAACAAATAAATATATGATGTATATAATTTTAAACAACACCAAAATTAGAATTTTTGGGGAGAGAAAATTACAGATTAGCAAGGAACCATTAGTTACTGCTAGAACTTCATAAGTAATGCAGCATGTCTTGGTAAAGATAAGATATCAATTCAGTCAAATACCATATTTTTAATACAAATCATACAAGAAAATTATATGCTCTAATGTTACTCTCAAATTTCAACTGCAGTATCTGACTTATACTGGATCTTATACAACTGTCTAATTGGTCAGTAATTTACTGTTGTTTTACCTTTTATAAGATGAAATAATAATAATGAAAATTATGACCAATCCTACAAACTAAAAATAATATATTTAATGAGATTAAGATAAAAATATTCATATCATTACTTCTAAAACAAATCATTGGACATGAACATTAATAAAACATGTAAGAAACATTATCAGTAACCTTCAGATAATGAAGTAAATGAGTAACACCAGTTTTATTTTTACATCAAGAATTTTTAATTTATTCATTATAAGATAATTAATTATTATGGTCTAGTAGATATATATATATATATCAACTATTATACAAATATGTATTTATATAACATCTGGATAGTTTTTTCTCTACTTTACAAATAACAGTAGTTAAAAATAAATTTTCAGAAAAATATTAAGACCAGATTAATAAATTTAATAACAAAACATATTCCTCAAATAAAATTAGATAATTAAATACAGTGTTCTCAAAAATAGATATTTATGCACTACTGACCTGCACAGTTGTACTCTGATCGGAAAAAGGGGAATTAAAAAATGTTGTGATGATGTTCATAACTGAATTAGTAACATAATTTTCTAACTGCAGATCTGCATGCCTCCGATCATGTGTAGCATTGCAAACCTGAAAAGATGTTAAAAAAAGGGTTAAACTGATATTGAAAAACAGACTGAAGCAGTAAAAACTGACACTGTGTTAAGAACTAACAGTTAAATTTTTTCAGTATTAATAATCAGAAAATATCATAGACATCAATTAATCTTTATTGCAATATATGCTTAAATAAATGCATTACTTCTAAATACTCCTGGAATTATAGATTGCTTAACTGTAAATACTTCTGCTATTACAAAATGGTTAAATATATTTTTGCTTAGTTTAAAAAAATACACGAACCTGGAGTAAATAAATTATATGTTTAATATACTTTGGAATGAAAACATGACTGTTTAAATTTATTTAATATTTGAACAATAAAAATCTGATGTGTACACCACATGACTTCCTTGTACAGAATATTAAACTATACACACATTTTTTCTTGCATTTTATTTAAACTTATTAGATTGAATTAAACCTACTTCGCCGACAGCGCATAAACCAAAATAGAATAAATGCATTCTTTAAAATTCACTTTGTTTACCATAGCGACACTCTGGCGCTAAGTTTATTTAACAGTATTATATTTCATTCATATTATAACTCAGAAAGCACAAAATGTATATCATTTAAAGAATTATCTAATCGTTGCCACATGTTCTATTCAAATACTATAATAAAGCTAGAACTATGTATAAAAGAAATTAAGCAAATAAAACAAAAAAGAAACAGTTTTTCACAGACGATTGAGATTTCATGATTTCATTTAATTAATTCAGTTCTTACTTCGAGAGAAGGCAAAAATACATAAAAACTCAAAATATCTATATTAAAAATTACAAAGTAAATCTCAAACGCTTATTTCCTCGAAAAAAATTACAGAAAGAATTAAGCATGATTTAATTGGCAATAATAAATGAATGCGTTATCTTTGTTGTTGCGAAGCTAAGTTTCTCTAGATTAGCAACAAATCCACTAGTCTCCTGTTTCAAATGTAAACATCAATGGCCGCCATTAAAAACAGGCTTAGCGGCAATTAAACAACTTTAAAATTGCTGATAATTCTAAAAATATTGCACACAGATTTACTAAAGGCATAAAATCCTTAACCGGAAGATAAAAACAATATAATTCAATCATTTTTAAAGAAAAAAATGTACAATTTACAAACATATAAGAGTAAAGAAACTGAGATTACTGAGCCGGGTAATAGAGTGGATATATATATAATATATTTATATACTTTTGGTGCGGCCGATTGCAACCAATAATAACGAGGTGCACATCTACATGTTATAGCAGTCCTATATCACAAAATTTCAACGTTCTGAGGGCTACTCGTTTTTGAGTTATGCGAGATATGTACGTACATACGTTGTACAGACGCCAACGAAAAATTCTCTTCAGAATTAATTTTAAAGCAGTTTTATAATTTTTTTTTAAGGAAAAGAGTATTTTATTCTGTCCTTACACACAGATATCACGCAAAAACATCGTTAAATTGCATTCAATAGCGGTCAAAATGGATATTTTCGTTGAAATATGCTGCCTGAAATTTTTCGCGATTACAATACTTCCTTTTTACTTCGTACAAGGAAGTAAAAAGCATAACTTAAATATGGAGTATGAAATAATTATGGTAAAAATACATTAAGAATTACATAAACATTAATGTCATTAGAATGTTCACTTTTAATTATGACATTTAATTATAAAAATGAAATATAGCTAGTAGCTTAATTTTATAATATATATACACAGGCACATTTACTGAAAATATTATTACATTTTACTAAACAATGCAACATCACTTAAAAAAAAAATATTTACAGAAAATATAAAAACGAGAGAAAATAGTTACCTGTGCCATATCCACAAGAAAATTTTCAAACAGTGTCCAAATGTGATTGCTTGTGTAAATTTCTTTCATTTCCACCTCAGTATCAATGAAACAATGGCTAAGAAAATTAATATACGCTTCTTTGACCTAGAATCCAAAATGAAAACAAAAAAATAAAATCACATCATTACCTTGATTTTGCAACGAAAATGTATTGCACGTAATTTAAAAATCTTTTGCTATATGACAATATTGCTATTGCTAAGCTTTTGTCTTCTAAAAGCAAATGAACTTAGAACCAAAGGAATTTAAGTTTTGTGGGCCAATTAGATCAAGCCACACCTAACTTTCTCACTTGCTGGCTTTTAATAAATAGGTTATCAAAAACTGTCAAATTTTCAATTTCATATTAATTACAAAACATGAAAATAGTCTGCATAAAGAAAAACATACCTCAGGTAAACAATCTGGATGAGTGACCACTTGAACAATATCATCCAAAGACAACAAAGAATGACACTTTATTTCTGTGAAAACATTTTTACCCTCTGTACAACAAGCTAGAAGTTTAACTAAGTTTATATGATACTGGAGAGGACCAGCTTCATCCATTCGTTGCCTTTCTGAGCGCATCATTTCAACCAAATGATTGAAGGATGTTTTATCATTATAGAATACAAGAACATCTTCTCCAGCATTGACCATCTACAAAATTAAGGATTAAAAATTATAAAAATACATATTATAAGAATCATAATTTAAAATTTAAATTTTCTTCTTACAAATAGAGAATTATATTATACATAAGCGGCTTAAGTGTTTGTCGCCAATAGTTTATTGTTGCCATTCGGAAAAATGATCGCGGAAATTAATGTTTGTGCAGTTTTTAATTACTATCTCGGCCGATTAAAGTCATACGAAGATGAGGACGGTACTGATGGATTCGGAAAATTTTTTGGAATCCAAGGATACGCATCTTGAATTTTAACTTGGTGCCGTTCCGTAGATATTCCAGAAAAAGAATTTGGCACGTAGCCAAATCCCTCTAATAGGGAAAACCCAAGAAAGAAAGTGGAGAACGTAGGGGAAAATTCGTTTTTAATTAATATCTCGACTAATTAAAGTCCCACAGAGACGCAAATGGTCAAAATGGCAGGTCATGGACCTGCAGAATCCAATGTTGTGCTTCGCTAGGCCCTGGAGCCAGCCGTTTCGGAAGAGATGATGTTACTTCACCTCATATATATATGCGGCTTAAGTATCTGTTTGTCGCCGATAATTTATTGGTTGCTTGCGTAACTGTACTAGCCAATGGGGTGAAGTTGCCACGGTACAGGTTTGCTGTTTCACTTGAGACGTAGACAATGTCCTCTGCAAGGCGAGATTAAAAATGAAAGATCTACACAAGAAGTGCTGTGCACAAAGATATTTTTGACACATGAACTAACATTTTATTATTTAAATCACCTTTATTTATTGAGCTAGAGGTGGCTCTTAAGAAATGTACTGCCAGTGGTTTCCTTCATTGCACTCTACTTTAAGCAATTAAGCAAATAGATGGGGGAAACACCGTGGGGCAGTAAGCAAAGGGGCGTCCTCTCCATCTGCTATGGGTAATTTAGTTTGAATTAGTAGACACCTTTGCACAAATTATTTTAATTACAATTTATAATATTTAGAACTGCGGTAATTTTATATGACCGCCGGGGTTTCTAGTTATATATATATATTATCAAACATATAGTATATATACACTGGTGTGCAAAAATTAAGGACGAGATGGTTTTTTCAATATAACTTTGTACAAAAGCTTTCCAAATCAACACATTTAATACCATAAGATCCCCAATACGTAAGGACATGAGTAATGTAAGCAACACTTACTAAAAGAGAAATCAGAGGGATAAAAAGAAGCTTTATTGAAAACGTAGCATGGAGCGCAATGCGACTGAAGGCCGAAACATCCCTCTGATGGGTGTCCAGCAAGAAACATCCGGTCTTTAAATAGGGGATATGATCTCCCCTGACTGCTAGGACAGGTTTCACAGCGTCTGCCCATGCTGAGATTGAGGGTGTCAATGAGTTGTTGAGGCATTGCTGCCCATTGTCTTGCAGCGCCAATCGAAGCTCCGGAAATCGTTACTGATGGTAAGGTACGAGCTGCCAAGCGTCTCTGCCTAGAAAATCCCATACATGCTCGATGGGATTGAGATCCGGAGATCGTGCCGGCCCAATCCATATGTTCAATATCCCTCACTCTCTAAGAGCTGTTCGGGCTACTGTGCGATGACATGGTGCATTGTCGTCCATGAAAAGGAACTGCGGACCCATAGCGCCTATAAAAAGACGCACATATGGAAGAAGAATCTCGTTTACAATAACGGGTTCCCGTTGACTGAACCTGCGTCGAAGATGTGAAGGTCTGTACGAACTACCAAGCATGATGCCCCCCAAACGAAGAACACCGCCAACCTCCATACCTGTCCTTTCAATGATGTTCGAGGGATGATTGCGGCTTCCCCGCTTCTCTCCAGATTAGTATGCGATGAGAATCGCTACTCAGACTGAATCTGGTCTCATCTGTAAAAGAGTACTAGTCCCCTATTCATTGTCCTCTCCAATTCCGGTGTTCCCGGCACCACAGAGAAACGCCTTCTCTGATGGGCAGGCGTTAGAGGTACACACCGTACAGGGCGTCGTGCAACAAACAGACCACCACCGTGCAGTCTTCTGGCCACGGTAAAACGCGATATCGATATCGGTCGTTCCAGTCGCCTGTGTTGCGTGTGTCTAGCGATTTCTCCCGCTGTCTGCCGCCTGTTTCTTCTGGCCTGTAAGGCAATATACCGGTCATCTGCGAGTGTGGTTCCTCGTGGACGAACACTACTAAACCCCCGGATAGCTGTTCCTGTAGTTTGAAATTGTCTCCAAAGTCGTGAAACGATGCTGTAAGCAATTCCGAACTCTGCAGCCACACTTGTCACACTGCGGCCTTCCTCCAACTTCTCAATGATTCGACCTCGGGTAAAAGCATCCAGATGTCATCTAACAGACTGATTATTTGCCATTTCTCGCTGAGGCAGCAACTCAGTGTGATTTTAACTGCTATACGGCGTGCAATCTCTTTGCCAGAAATAGTGATCTTACACCAACAACATGCTTTATACTACTCAGACATTCCCCCATTACGTCTACCAGCATATCTGCGCATGTGCTACCGTACATCACCTTAAAAATCAGAATGAAAAAGAATAAAATTCCACATTAAAAATTTTGACGGTCTAACCTAATTTCTCCAGTTTACATAATAAACTGGTAGAACGCAAATTAAAGAAAACTACAGAATTGTAATAAAATAATGTTTACTTTAAGGAGTAAAAAACATATCAAATACATGAAATTTGTACATAACAAAACCAAAAATAAATAAAGTTTTAATATCTTTTGTTTTATGCTTCAAACAGAATATGTCAAAGGAAAAGTGTTTTGAAGCCTTAAATCATGTTGATTAATGAGTGGTGAAAACATGTTTCGTTCCTCTGAATCCATCAAGTCTCCAAACCGCTTTTTATTAATCCAACATTCATATCAAACAAAATTTATTTCAAAAATCTAAAAAAAAATTAAGTTCTTTTCCCTACACGTCCTCGCATTCATACAGTACAAACAGCTATATACAAATTGGAAAAAAATAAATAAATAAAAATAAAATCTGGAGCAGCCTAAAAGGGCTAGATACTAACTAAATTCATGAAAAAATTAAAAATAATTCTGATTACAGAATTAATTAATCAATTTAACTTCAAAAGGGAAACATAAATTGTTCAGTCAATGTATTTATGTCCTAATACTAGGGCTGGCTCATTTATGTAAAGGAAAGTTTAAACTTTTTTGGGAATTTAAGAAAAAAATTGCCGAAGGGAAAATAAAAAATAGTAATTACTAAAAAGACTCTTGTAAATAAGGGGAAAATATTAATATGAAATCAATGAAACTATTGAAAAAATCAAACTTACAGGTCAGCAATATGTCTGAACTGCTAAAAGTATAGAACTTCAAACGAACCTTGAAAAAGGGAGAGACCAGAAAATGAAAAAAAAAAATCTTCGACTAACAAATAGTAAAAGACATAAAACCATAAAAAAGCCCATGCTTTCTTGGTGTGAAGCAACTGGTGGCTAAAACAAAATGGGGGTGGGGGGTTCTCACCAGAAAAAGGCACCAGAAGTGATAATATGGCGTCGCTTTTAGATTCTTGCCTTTTATAAGAAACCATCCAAGATGGCAATGCTTTAAACAATAATAGTTTTAAAACTGGCCAAAAGCAGAGGAAAAATGAAATAAGGGATTAAAATAATAAATAAAGCGAATGCCAGCTTTTTTTAAAGTGTGCGAAAATGTGAACTTCTGAATTTGATTTTCTAAGAGGTTATATTAATAAAGTTCTGTATTTCTTATTGAAGATAGTCTATTTCATTGCAAATTATATACACATGATAAAAGCAAATTTTAGAAGTACTGATGTAGGAATACTGAGACGTAGAAATATAGTTATGTTGCTTGGCATAGATACTTGATGCTTATAGAGGCGACCCATATTGAAGAGGAAGAAGTCGAGGCAGATTAAATTCCATTTTTATTTACATTCACATCCGTGGTTACAATTCATTTGACACTCTAATCGTGTCTATTTTCAAGAACATTTACATTTTTTAATACTATTGCAATAAGAAGAGAGCACAATGGCACGAAAGCAGCACCACAGAGGGTGAAGCTAAAAGTACGCATTTATCCAATATGGCAGTCTGTTAAGAGAAAGGTTTTGGTTTATATTAGAAAGGTTTCAGTTCTCAGAGCTTAGGTTCCCAATTAACTACTTCATCAGTATTATGTGCAAACTTTGTGGCACAGACTAATATAGAAATGGTGCAGTACAGAAATGTTGTTATTTGCAGAATAGAGAAAAAAATACCCAAATTAAAAATGAGAAATTAAGAAGCTATTAAAAAATTAAATTATAAAGTTGATTTACATATTTTTATCTTATATATTGATATGTAAGAGAAATAAAAAATATGTAAAAGATAAATTATAATTTAAATTAGTAACATAAATTAATTTCCTCTCTGTATTCTAAAAATACTAATTTCTACTTGCACTGCATCATTTCAAGGCTAATAATACATGTCATATGATTCTTACATAATTCTGATGATGTAAATGAAAAAAAAAACAACCAATACTAATTTTACAGTAGTATTAATCATCTAATCAAAATGCATTGACAACTAAAACTAACTCACTCTGAATTAAAATTTCATTGTGAACACAACACACTTGCTCGCTACTATTTGGCCAAGCTGGTCTGCTGCTTTCTTCTTACTGCAAAGTTATCAAAAATGTAAACCTCTTGAAATAGGCAAAAATAATGTGCCAACTTGTTTGTGGCCGCAACATGTTTACTTAAATAAAATGGGATTTAATCTGCCTCAGCTATTAATTTCCTATTCATCATGGATCAACATTTCTACGCCACCAAAATTCCTGCTGCTTATTACTTCTAAGTTTGTTTCTATTACATAATATATATATATATGGTATTCTAACTTCAGAGCCTAACAGATCTCGCATGCTATCTAATATATAAGTGTTTACTGCATGAGTAAAATTGATGGAACTCTTGCCACTTTGTGTTTTTAAAAAGT